CCTTAGGGACTCTGCCATCCTCAATTCTCCAGGTGTGACCCAGCCACCTCAGCCTTCATAGACTGAGCAATGAAAAGACTAACTGCTGTCTCTCGATTTGTTTCCGAGACCGATTAAGGCCATGGATGAAGTTCCTCCTCTCCATAGCACAAAGCCTGGGCAGTATTGTAAAGAGCATATGTTGCCCATGCATAATGATCCCTCTCTCGACATGCCTTGTTTACTCTAAAGGAACGGCAAAACCAGTACTTTTGGATCGAGGCAGGTTGCAGAAGCTGCCGGATCAGAAGAGCAGTGTTCTATCTGTCCGCCTGTCGGAGCTTCCCTCCTAGACCAGCTGCCAGCCAAGGCTAAGGGCCTTGTCTGCCCTGCCATAACACAAAGTTTTAGGTTGCATCTCCTCTTCCTATGATAAGGCTAGTATCCTCCCCAATGCGCTCCTCCGCCCGAAGCCGTTGTCACAAAATGGGATGTTGGGTTAGTATACGCCGCCCAACATTCGGCGTAACAGAAGACACGTGGTACCGGCTACTGTTATACGTAGCTCAGTCATATCTGACCAAGACCTATTATTATTATTTTCTTAAATAAGGCTTCACCGCCACCGCCACCAGGTGGAGCTTCAACATGACGAAAAATTATTCCCACATGGGGACGTAAAGTTATGTGTTTGGTCCTCTCCCAATGCTCTAAATAGTATGTTATTCGTGTAGCAATATGGCCATATTACCCACCTAGTGCCGATTGGTCTGTAAAAATATGGGCACTCTTCCCATATGCCCGATGCGTTAAAGGCATGAAAAAGGGTCACTTTACTTCACAGTGTAGCAATATACCAGGTTAAATTATCTACAAATGTAAATTTTATTCCCTATACATTATTTGTTAAGTTGTATTTTTGCAGACATGTTTATTACTTGATATTGTTCACACCGTCGAATAATCATATAAATCCCGCGTCCCTAATTGGGACGCAATTTGTTTTTGTTTTAAAGCCCCACCCTGGCTGTTGCCAGGGCCCTAATGTAATCCACTGCCTTCTCTAATACTGGAGCTGCCCGTGTGTAATCTAACCTATGGGTTAAACAGGGTTTCTAGGACTGGTCCCACGGTTTTCCTAATCCGAATGGTGGCACTTTGTATCACTGGATCCTTATCGCCTGGTGTGATGTCATGGTGGGGTTGAACTTCAATCAATCAATTATTTATTTTAATAAGTGCTGAATGATCTAAATGACATATAGTGCCATGGAATGACCGTTGCTATATATCCCAGCAGAGATGAAATCTGGCCTACAGGAGTGGCCAGAAAAAAAAAGTACTCCCATTCCGTTCTTCCCCAGTATTCCCTGAGCACAGCTGCCTACTAGTTTTTTTTTTTTTGGGGGGGGGGGGGGATGGGGGGGGGGGGCTTTTTCACCAACACTATTAACTAAATAATTGTTTAAACATTCACACTTCTGCTTTTCATCTCACACTTGTAACATATGTTCTCAACCAAATAACGACAGACTCTTTGTTGACTTGTTCATGAAAAGTTATATTTTAGAGCTAACGTTTACCAAGGGATGAAACAGCAAAATCATTTATCGCCTTTCACGACATGCATGGCATTTTTAATAATAATATAATTTTCTTTCCCTGTGTTTCCCGTCAACACACTCGAAATATCCCCAATGACTCACCGAAACCTGCTCGAAAGTGAGAGGGGTTCTCGAGACCAGTGATACAGTTACCAGTAGTACTTACGCCGAGAGGAACTCAAGATGATTGAGATAAGAACAAGCCAGCACATAATTGCAGCGTTACAGCTTCGTAAGTTATATTACCCATATAGTCAGCCAAGTTGCTATCTTTAGACTCAGAATAGAACAGAACAGAACAGGCTCAAACGCCTTCTTCTTATAAACATCACGACCACCTCAGCATAGACCCTAAAACAACAAGGGCAAAACCTTGTTTCCTTTACTGGGCTCACTTAAAATTGTAAATTCAAAATATAATTTGTATCTTTAACAAAAATTCCATTGTTAATTTAAACTACACGCAAGGGTCATCTGTGGTTTATAAGTCAAAAATATAGTTTCGTAATTCCAGCATCATCGGTCTGACTCGACTGCATACGATTTGGCAGCATACCGCTTTCAACAGATTTTGACGATAGTATAAACGTCGAGCTGCTTAGGAACAATGGCAAACTAGAGAACGTATAAATGCCCAGTAAAAACCAAAATCACCAGCAACTTACAGTATTTTCAACGTGTTTTTTCCTGTGTGGGTTTCGTAACCCGATTGTGGGGGAAACAAGAATACATCCACTGTTTTCACAGCAAGCATATCGTAGGAGTCGACTAACAGGGATCTTCCTTCGAAGTCGGAGTGCATCAACTCGAGCGACAAGGAACAACCAGCTGCACACAAATAAGCCAGTAAAACCGATGCACACACAAAACTCAGGCCCTGGCACAAAGGCAAAGTCCAAATGGACGAACAATCAGGACTTTCCGCCAGAGCTTACAGACGGTGAACAAAGAAGAAGAAGAAGAAGAAGAAGAAGAAGAAGAAGAAGAAGAAGAAGAAGAAGAAGAAGAAGAAGAAGAAGAAGAAGAAGAAGAAGAAGAAGAAGAAAAAGAAGAAGAAGAAGAAGAAGAAGAAGAAGAAGAAGAAGAAGAAGAAAAAGAAGAAGAAGAAAAAGAAGAAAAAGAAGAAGAAGAAGAAGAAGAAGAAGAAGAAGAAGAAGAAGAAGAAGAAGAAGAAGAAGAAGAAGAAGAAGAAGAAGCAATATCCTGTAAAGTGTAAAGGATATCCAACTATTTTGTTAAAGGGGCATGGAGTTATCACCCAACAGCTTCATTACACAACACACCCGACTGGAGCGGGATTTCAAGTGTGCTGCTAGCCATTGTGTTATTGCAGCTCCTATGTTATTTGAGAGGTTTGATTTTTTGTTTAAAATGTGAATGTTCAAAACGCTTAACACAGAAAAAGAATACATGCATTGCATTCGTGCGCGAAGACGGGTTTACTTGTGACCTATATTTGATGTAAGCATGTGACCCGTTCTGCTCTAGGTGGCTATAGGCTCGCTCACTAGCAACAATCCTCATTAACATGAAGCCGTTAAAACGGCTGAAACTGGGACAAAAAAAATAGCGATGGTTTGTTTAAGAATTGTTCTGGTATTGTAGTTAAAATATATGACAAAGATGGTAAATTTGATGAAAAAGAAAACGTCTGATGCAGTGAACCAAACGCGTTCTTAGTATTTGGGACCCCCAGCCCATTTTTCCGTTCCCCACCAGCGTAAACAAACATCTCATACAAAATATATTCATCCCCATTATATGCTGTTAATGCATAACTGGTCACTCACAAGTGAGAAATTGTAATTAGTAGATAAATGAGGACATAAGAGAAAGTAGGATAGAAATAGTACTACTGTAATAGTAATTTAAGCAGCAATATCATATTCACCCAGTTGGGCTATAACTGGGATTTTAAGAAAAACCAATATTAATATTATGCTTCTCGTGTAACTTTTCGTCCTTCTTAGGACGTTATTTTTTGTTATTTGAAGCCCCACTCTGGCTTTTGCCAGGGGCCGCAATATAGGCAGGTCATCATTATGGCCAAATGTCTGAACGCGGTTTCTGGGACCTCTCCACGGTGATCCTCATCCGCATGGTGGCACTTTGTGTCATCGGGTGTTTATCGCTTGTGTGATGTCCTGGTGGGGTAAAAAATCCAATCCAAACCAATATTAATGTCATGCAAGGATAGCTGACAAAAATGGGCGGCCCACTTAGAGAGAATCTCTTGTGACATACACATATGACGCCTATTAAAAGAGAGAAGAGTAACGAAGAAGCACGGAAACAGTAGACAGAAACTACAATATCAAGTTATATATTGTCGAGGCGGCCAGAGCAGTCAAAACTCGTTATGCAAACGACACTTGGATAGATAGAATAGGAAGTGAAATGAAGTGAAGGAATGATGGACTGAATCGACTATGTGTTATCGGAATCCGCAATGAAAACAAAGAAAATAAACACTAACCACTGTAAAACGGATTGTCGCATGAGGCGACTACAAAAGGTCTACGTGTGACTGGTTATCAGATTGGGTACTAGATGCACAATCCAACAAATCATGAACAAGTCTACGAAATCTTGGCGTCAGCTGGTTGATACACTTCATTTGAAGAAAAAGAATAAGAAACAGAAGAAGAAGAAGAAGAAGAAGAAGAAGAAGAAGAAGAAGAAGAAGAAGAAGAAGAAGAAGAAGAAGAAGAAGAAGAATGTGTTTAAAACGAGAACATCAATGTACGGTCTTCAAGATAATAAAGCAAGGACTGTGTAAACAGACAGAGCATACATTAGATGCTTACATCTCTCTGGAGCCCTTCGACGAGGTAGAGAAATAACACTCAAAACTGCATTATCTACTATTTTTGAGAGCACCCTTGCCCACACTAATTATTCTGGATAAAGTTCATTTCTAGTATTCAAATGTGTCTCAGGGTATTAACTGGCTGGACAGCCATGTTAATGTTTCTCTGAGAGACCTGGGCTAAGTGATTGTGTATACTTGTTTGCAATTGCCAAATGGTCTTCATATGATGTGCTGATGAACGCTTTCTGTCGTAACGTTTGTGTTTGTGATAATGTAAGGCAGAACAGTTCTTTTCATTTGGTTTAACATCCTTAAATAAGTAACCGGAAGAATAAAAGTAAAACAAGCTACAACAACAACAACAAATGAGACAGATGAAGTAACTGAACAAAGCAAATATTAATAAGAACAAGAGTGAGAGGTGGGCACAAGCGAAGAGACTACAACCGGAAGTGTATGACACCTACTACACGAAGAGTGTGACGTCACGATATTACTTATTAAGGCTGTCGTCGTCGAGAAGCAGAAGCGGTAGCAGACTACTTTCTTCGCCGCTGTTGAATGATTTCTAACGGTTTAGGATATACCACGTAGACAGTTACAGAATGTCGCTGGCAGGCCTGAAGAAACAATTTAACAAAGCCAATCAGGTATGTATATTTGTTTATTTTGTGAATGCGAAAGTAATTAGAAAGTGTTGGTTAGTTTAATCGGTGTGTGGCATGACGTGTGTTACACAGACAACACGAAGTAAAATCTTGACTCGTACGGCGTATGGTTTAGTTTAGTTGTTCTCTTTCTTGCGGCGCAAACTATCCCGTAAATATTAGTCATCATAGCGTTTTTATTTACAAGTTATTGATGAAATAAACTTCTCTTACCAGTGCAAGTTAGAGTTGATCAATGATAGTTCATTAGTTTGGGTAAGTTAATTTTTAATTGTGAAAATGAAGAACATTTGAACAGCTGTGTTTAGGAAACCTGTACTTGCTAATTAGTGTTAGTAATGAATCGTACATATCATATGTAGATTAACTATTTTTCAACAATATCCCGGATCTCAAAAGACTATATTCACCAAGTCTCAAATGCTAGTAATTACAGCCATTGGGCATTACGATTACTGATTTGAGAATCGACATCATAGCCCACTACACTAGGCATACCCATAGATGTTCCATCTCCCGCGGCATTTGTATTACGGTGTAGATGCTAACATTAACTGTTCCCGTAGCACACTGAGTATACACACGTCGTTCTCTTCCTCTCATACATGCCTCCTTACCAGATCCACAACTAATTCCTTTTTCACACAGTCTTGCACATTTTATTGCATCTGACTGTGTGTCTTCTGTCAACATTTGTTCATATATGGTCTTCAGAATATCTCCATTGTCCATCTAGTTAGTTATTTAACTCATAGAGGCCCAAGGGGTGGTAATGCCATTTTTTGTAAATTTCACAAGTGTAACACATTAAAACAGACCATTCTAATTCATTTGCAGCACAACATAAACAATTAGAGATCAAAGTGACCATAATTTGTTGAGGAATAATTATAGAATACAGCTACAACAAATAATTGCGTTAGTAATTAAATATTAGTAAATAAACAGACACATGTTTACAAAAATTAGTAAAATGAAATTCACAAAATTTTCACTTACCACCATGGCACTAAAAATAAAACTGATTAAAGTATTTCCAAAATGAATCACAAATGAATATAAACCACTTAGTAATGTATAAGTAAAAAATAAACTCAATCTATACATTAGATTTTGTTTCAGAGAATCTTTTGAAGCATCATAACAGAGCACCATTATTTGGTAAAGAAAACTGACTCCCAAAACAATAAGTATCTTCACACAAAACAAAGTTTATATAACATTCAATTTGCATGTAATTTTGTAGCTGTGTTCCTAGATAATAAGGGGAATAGCACTAGAACTAACTGACACTGTAGAAAATTGTCTTTTCACTTATGTTTATTCTATTTGTGCCAGCTGACTTTACTATCGTTGAAACCTTCGCGTGAAGTACACATTAGACATATCCCTCATCGAAGTTTGACTTATAAATGACTGAAACACGTCTAATTCGCAACGTTATCTATCTAACTTCGGATAAATCTTAAAAAAAAACACATACTTTATTCAAATTTGAGGCTTCTAAAGCCATAAATCATGTTGGCATGCATGTAGAATATTGCTTGGCGGCCATATTATTTTCAAACAAACACTTAGTAACTCTGCAAAACTCGCCAATTTACTATATTTTTGGCTTTCAACCCACATTTCTAAACGAGCATGCCTGATATCAGACACAAAGAACTCAAAAGGAAGCTGAAATTGAGCGGTCTGTGTTTTATTATGGATCAGTGGTAGATTAAAAACCGTCACTTGTTATGCGTCGATTGGGCCGTGCCGTTGTAACAAATTAGCGAGTGATGCGTTCCCTGGGACTTAAAGAGTTAATGGTAAGATTATCCTTATTGCACGTGAGACAAGTCCATAAGCGCTCTGATCCCATCTTCAGTATATCCCTCAGGGTGTGGCGACTGATAACGCCAGTTCTATGTTGGTTTACTATTCTTCTTTGGCTACCTATATAGTTATGAGTTATGAGTTGGATTATCTTCACAGCACTCTGGACACATCTATAGGTGCTTAGATTCCCCTGTCAACATATTCATCAGCGTCTAACGGTTAGTAGTGCCAGTCCTAAGCTGGTTGACAAGACATTTGTGTGGGTCCGATGTGCTTCTCGCGCTTGGCTATGTCGATCTTGACTCCCAATTCTCGTATTCGTAACGATGATGTGGACGCGTTGCTTTGAAAATCCTTCAAACGTCCTATCTCTCTAAGGGCATTGATACTGTCTGCTTGATCCATGGGCCAGCCATCTTCAATGAATGCAGCACCTGCCAGGCTGTCAGCTCTTTCATTACCAACAACACCTGCATGCCGTGGGACAAATATGAAGGTAACTGCACACACAGGAGAGTTTTGCAATGACTCAATCCACTGTCTGCGTAACCAGCCTGCCTCGACCTAACGGATCATGCTCAAAGAACCACTCAGCACACACGCAGGAATAGTCCTGTGATTCTAGCCACATGAAAGCTTGTATCACTGCCATCGCCTCCATCATTATGCTGCTGGTAGTCATGGAGAAGGCACCGCTGGCTTCTTAAACTGTTCTGCCTAAAGAGCAAGCTGTAAATGTCCATGCACTCTTTTGTCCTATAGTGTTCATTTTTGGCAACAGCACTGAATCATCTTCTTGTCCTGCCTCCTTGAGAGCATTGACATGTTGCCTCGGTCCATTGCTTTTCATGTACCTACCGCGGCCCTGCCAGCAGGCAAATCTGCCCATTTATTCCCTCTTACCCCAGAGTATCCTAGTACAAAAATGAAACTAATTCCGGTTGTAATAACGAAGTCTGGCCCAGCTACACACTAGCTGACCTGTCGCTTTTGTAGCTAGAAAATCTGCTCTTTCATTCCCTTGCACTCCTGTTTATTCCAGACAGTATATCTATGTGATTCTCTGCAATTTTGGCATATTGAGGCTTGGTATCCACTCATGCCACATTAGTCCATTTTGAACGTTCTTCAGTACCGGCTGAGAATCAGACACAATGATTCCTCTGGTAGCTTTGCTTTCTGCTGTCCAAATCAGAGCGACATTGATTGCCTCCACCTCCATCCTCATGCTCAAAGTTGTGGATAAAAACTCTCTGTTGTCTTCTGTCACAACCTTTTCCTTCAATCTAGCTGAAAACCCCAGCCAGATCTTACAATCTGATGAACAGAACCATTGGCATACACTATTGCATCATCTAGCTCAGCTTTTCCATTTATCTGTTTTAACTCTAATTCTGCCATACCTTTACACCACTTGCTAATGACCAGATGGAAACTGCTGTTGTGGGTGTTCATGTCAAACCTATTTCTGCCCCCTGTTTATTTGCTGGACTGAGGCTCCCATCTATGGCCTTTCTCTTTTCAATCAACTTCTCCTAATCTTTCAGATCTATGCAGCGGATGCCTTTCATCATCGGTTACCTGTATATAGGTCTTGACTTTTGCCAGTGACATTCTAGACTTTATCGATGTCAGCCCAAGAATATACATCATTGTTCTAATTGATGTAACTCGTGTGCAACCCAAGACGATTCTCATTACTTCATTTTGAATCCATTCAGGCTTTGTGCACTGTGAAGTAGATTGAGTTAAAATTCCTAGGTTGGGTTAAAATTCTAAGGCCAAAATCAGTTAATGAAAGGACAAAATGGTTGAACAGTAAGACCAATCAATAGTCTCTGTTCCATGTGTGTCACCACCATTGTCTTCAGTGCCACCAGGCACACTTGCATTTGATTAGAGTCTACTCCATGTGATATGTGAAGGATAGACTGCGATCAAAACCTTAGTATTTCAGCTTATCTCTTCTTCATGGATATGCTGGGTAAGTCTTCTTTTCCAGTATTTCTATTTAAGGAGCATCACAAAACACTGGCCTTCTCTGGGTTTACTCTTGACCCTGTCCGACCCACTGTGATTCCTTAGGACATCATCTGCAAATGTCAAAGTGTGTCCTGGTCCAGGAAGCTGTATTTTTCCTAGATTTGCTCTATATTCGTTGAACAAGACAGGTGACACTGGTGATCCCTGAGAAAGGCCAAGGTAAACGCATATTGGATCTGATTTCCATGTTCCCAAACAAAATACCAGTTCTTTCCACCCACTTAGCCAACCAAAGTTTCACACCACAGTCCATCATGCACTGCATAAGATATGTGAAGCCAGTACCGTTAGAGGCATCTTTAAGACCTATCGCAGCAGCAGCTGTTACTTGCTTTCGCTGAAATACTTCATTCACATCATATGCAAAGCAATCAGCATTGTCCCGTGTTGCCTTTGATGGCCTATAGCTGCCCATAGAGTCCGAAAGCATCCCCATTCTTCCTAAGTTTCTTCGCCACAGTTTTTTTTCCCAGTAGTTTGCCATACACATTGTGCAAGTTAACGATTCTATAACTGCTAAGCTGTTTTTTGAGCTGTAAAGGATCCCCGCCTTGTTTTGGAAATTGTTTAAGATAACATATGGCTATAGCACACACCATCTGGCCCCGGAGCATTATTTATACTGCCTCGCAATGCCACCCGTATGTTAATTTTAGCCATCAAGTCTTCATATAAGTTGTCTAGGATAGTGCTGTGCCTAGATTTTCTAGAGTGTTGCACCGCTCTATCCTATTGTCTTTATTCGTTTGAATTAAAAAACCACCTAAAAACTCTTGCACCTTCTCCTTGTCACTTGTTAATATTCTACCTCCTGAATCCTGAATGTTTGGCATTTGATGAATGGTAATTTTTCTTGTAATTTATTGATGTAAATTCCAGAAGTGTTTTCTCTCCCACTACATCTGTCACAAAACATTCCCAAATCTTTCTTTGAACTCTTTGGCACAGATTTTAAGTGTGTTACCCATGATTTGTTTATCTTGATGTTTTTGCTTCATATCTTCATCGTTTGCGGGTCTTAGTTTTCATTCTTTCTGCCATTCATTCGTAGCCAGTGTTCTTGCTTTCCAGGCCTTTTCCACCTGTTCGTTCCACCGTAATGGTTTCAAAGATGTTTTTTTTTTTCATGCCCTTTGTCTGGCTGTTTGGCACAATGAATGCATTGTACCAACCTGATCTTTATTGGCTGTAATTTGAACATGTGTCGTGGTTTCATTTGCTCAACAGTCTGTCCCTTTGGAATGAGAACAACACATGGGAGGTGATCACTTTCTTGCATCTCAGGAATATCCCAGCGCATTGTTGGTGCATCACTGCTTTACGCTAACGCTAGGTTGATCACTCCATCTGAGTCTTTGGCTCTCGCTGCCAGTCTCGCATGACCATCATTTAATACAATGAAGCTTGTGTTTAGTAGGGCCTGACTCAGTGCAACTCCCTGTCTGTTTTCTGTCTGATTTTCCCACTCTTTTAACAGAGCGTTAAAATCACCAGCCTTTAAACATTTACCATCATATTCCTCCAAGCCTGAAAGGAATTCTCTTGCACCCTTATTTGGAAGTTGGTCCTCATGCATGTATATGTTGAAGATGTACCAGTTTTTGTGGTCTAATCTTTGAATCTCAAGCATTTCATTGTTGTAATCTTGTGTATCTAGCCATTGATGTTGGATTCAATGCCTGACATACATTGCTAGACCTTAGTTTTGTGTTCCAGAAGGATAACTAGCAGTCATATACTGGACATTTAATGAGGGAATCAATTATAAGATATCTCATTATCTTTGTCTTTCCATTATGGATACATAGAATTAATTGTTGTGATCTCTCATTAAGTGGGTTTAATTTATCTTGCATCTGATTCTGTGGGTAGGATAGAAGAGAAATATCATCGGTGAAGTCCAGATTATCAAGCTGTTTTGTAATGATTCACCAAATTCCATTCCTGGTGGTAGCTGCTGCTTCTTTGTAATCCAGTCTGTTGACAGTTACAGTAGTGTGTAGAGGTGTCAAAAGACACCCCTGTTGCACACCTATTATTATTTCAGATGTATCTCTTAATTTTCCCCACATAAAGAGCTCAGAATTTCATGTCTTTATATGTTGGATCCCGGTAGTGCCTCATCAATTTCCAGAGATTCCCCATTAGTGCTGTCAGAGGCGTTTTCATAGTCTACAAATCCAGTGTAAAGTGAATTCATTTCGATGTTCTAATCTGTGATTATTCATAGTGTGATTATCTCTGGTCACTAAAGGATCTGTCTTGCTGAAAATCTGAGTGGGACGCTGAACACATGGATATGAGGTTAAGCAGTTGTGTGTACAGGACATGCGATTCCTTGGGTGAGCCAAAGACCAGAGCGTCATGTATCAGCTCTGTATTTAAGAAAGCCTTCTTGGATGGCAGAAAATGCTAGTGATCTGTCCCTGCTTTTCCTTGACCCGTTCTTATAGCAGGTGTTAAGTTGAGTTGAGTCAAGAATTGACATCACAGCACTCAGGGCATTCCCAAGCATGCTCTCTCCTCATCTTCAGCAGCCAGCGCAGAGTTTCAATACTGATGGTATCTGGTTAAAAGTCTGTCTTGCCTTTCCTCTGAGTGTAGTGAGCTCTTATAGCAGAAAGACAACTATAAGAACGCTATGGTCACCTGTGGAATATTTTCACATTTCGGATCTATCCAAACCCAAAAACTGTTTTCAGTACTTTTCGGCAAAGTAAAATACTCACAATTTTAAACCTATAAATGATGGCGGTCTGACATTGAGGAAAGAAGCATTAAGCCCAAAGACAGCACAATTACCAGAACTTTAGCCATGATAGTGGTGCAAATAAACAAGACCACAAATATAGCCAGAGACTGTTGGCAGCTTCGGCTAGCTAGCAGCAGGTTGAACATGGTTGAGCTTTTGTTTTTTCTTAAGAGGTATAGGAATGCATGCATCTTTCCCATTGCAACATACGCCTGTGAGACCTGGACACTTACTAAACAAGCGGAACAGCGCATAAATGCATTTGAATATAAATGTTACAGACAGGTTCTAAGAATATCTTGGGTAAAGAAAAGAACAAATGCATCCATATTTCAAGAGCTGAATATTGAAGAGGGTTGGCTAGTAAAGACAATAAAACAAAGAAAATTGAAATATTTTGGTCACTTGAAACGTCATGGAAGTCTAGAGAGAACAATAATGGAGGGGTATATGCCTGGGAAGAGAGGAAGAGGAAGGCCAAGGAGAAGATGGGTGCAGGTTGTGGCAGATGATCTCCAGATGGGTGTATCGGACGCAGGACATCTTGCTCAGGATAGGAAGGTTTTCCGGAGGGTTGTTATGGCAGCGAGGTTCCGCGAGGGACATGCTACTGAATGAATGAATAGGAATTGGAATTGAGAGCCAACCAGTCTACATGAGGTTGCCCTGGATGGGCTCTCCAAGAGCAATTCATATAGAGGGACACAGAGGACACCACACTAAAAAGGCCATGTAATATCTCACGAAACCAAATCAGGAAGGCTAACACAGTGAACAGATCCTCAGTGAAGTCAAATATATCAGCCCTCAAAAAAGTCAAGATTTCACAGCTATGCAGTAAACAGTCACAGGACAGTTACATCACTCAAACAAAAAATGAAGAAGAAGATTTGTCCAGCCAGTACAACTCTGAGGTTGACACAGTCTCATTTGCATAGAATTAGTGCAGATAATTTTCAGAATATTCTTAGATGTGTTAGAGATGAAGTAATATTGAGAAAGGTAACTATTTACCAGCCCCATTCCCTGACCTAGAATATGTGAAGGCCTAACATGACATTATAAATTATGACAGTTTCTGCTGTCTTTACCTTTACATACATATCTATCCACTTGCATTCTGTAGTTCTTCTTCTTCTTTATGTTTCATCATCGTCATCAATTTCCACTTCTGCTGTTAAGCGTTGTGGGGAGGTTCTTCATTTTTACTGGCTGTAAACTCCGGCTGAAAGTTTAGGTTATTTGCCCATTTCCGGACTTTAATCTTGTTCCAGACTATGAGTTTTGCAAGCGCAAAAGTTTTATAAATCTGTCTTACTTGTATGCAGACTGTTGGTTCCTCACCTGTCATGCCTATGCACTCTGACTTTGAAAGAAAAACCCTAAATAATTGCCTTTTATGACATGCTTGTTAGGGGCAGTGGATCTGTTCTTTTCCCCTCCAGAATGAGGCCCAGGAACCTACACAGGGCATTCGGAAGTTCATAGACTTATTATTTAACCATGGGTGAGGGGAGGGCTTATTGCTGGAGCTTTGAAGTTGTACTTTGTGCAGCATTTTTGTTGAGCAACCAGCCACTCCACAGAGAGAGAAACAAGTCATTGAGAATAAAGCCCAGAGCGGTAAAGACTATCTCTCACCTTTAAACACAAAATAGTCTTTATGATGATATATAATGTAACTGTTACTTATTATTTATCCCTTCAGTATATGAGTGAAAAGATTGGTGGAGCTAAAGGAACAGAGCTTGATGATGAATTTGTTGAAATGGAAAGAGTAAGTAGTATTTATTTTATTATTATTATTGGTTGGTTGGCTGGCACCTTTCCGTCTTTCCAGGCGATGGTGGTCCATTGTGCTATAGGCAAGTGTGGAAATCACAGATCATGGTGATGATGAGTGTGACTAGCAAAACCAGCTCATGATAAGAGGAATTTTCCACAATAAGTCAGATTTCAGGACCAGTATTGCCATTACATGTGGTTGATATGTCATTATTGCTATCACATGTCTTTGGCATGTTTCTTCTCAGATGCTCAGCTTTTAATTTCTTCCTCCCCATAGCACATAAGGAGTATTGTAGAGACTATGGGGTGCAAACCACGTGATTCTTCTCTCAACCTACTTTCCAGAGGAAAGGGTAGCACTAGCACGTTAAGAATAAAGCATGCTACAGAAGCTGCAGAATCAGAAGACCAGAGCACTGTCTGTCCGCCTGTCAAGCTTCCTTCCTAGATCATATGTGAACCAGGGCTAAAGACCTGGTATGTCCTGCCATAACATTATGTTTTCAGGCTGCATTTCTCACATAAATTATTATTAGGGAATGAAGATCCATTATGATGATGCATGCCTATCAGTCCACAAATTTATCTTCTTCTTCGCATTTACGGGCTGAAAACTCAGGTGAAAAGTTCTGGTTGTTCATCCACTTCCGGAATCTAATCCTGTTCCAGAAACTGAGTGATGTATGCACATCTGTTTCACAGGTCTGACTCAATTGCATGCAGACTTTTGGTTCCTTGCCGTTCAGGCAGATGTATTCCGACTTTGAAGAAAGCTCCCAGTTAGTTGACTCTTTACAACATGCTTTTGGGCAGGCTGTGGGTCTATTCTTGTTTCTCCCCAGAACCTACACAGGGACACAAGTATATGAGACAGGTAGGCAGTTTTGAAAGGGCTGATTTCTGTGACAGAATGGACCTAACTGGTACATGTCATGTGCCTAACATTCTGGATATCCTCCACAACAGAATTGACAGGCTACAAGACAATGGATAAATTCCCTGTGGAAAAAGGCCAAACCAAGTTGAATAAATTCCCTGTGGAGAGAGACCAAGTTTAATGGATTCATTCCCTGTGGAGAGAGGCCGGACCAAGTTGGATAAATTCACTGTGGAGACAGATCAAATTATAAAAGATCAATTTCATGTGGAGAGAGGCCAAACTATTTTGGGTACATTTTCTGTGGAGAACGACCAAACTGATTGGGATAAAACTGAGTACAATGAAGTCACTCCTTTTGCCTTTAAATCAGCAGATCTTTTACAGAATCTTCAAAAACTGGGCAGAATTGTTAATAAATAAGTGATGAATGTGGACCAATTAAAATAATAATAATATAATGGGAAACTATAGTAATTTGCAAGACAGGTGAAAATCTTATGTAAAATTAGTAGTGTGTCATTTACAGGACGTTTGCAACATCAACCCCTTAATTCTTTGGCTGTTGTGGTTTTTCTTACGCTCATTAGTTTTGCCATTGCTTTCTTGATACCACTGTCAAATCCAATGCAAGGCAGTCTGCTGCCAAATCCCCTGCAGCTGGGATTGAACCTGTCATCTCATCATTATGAAGTTTGTTCACATTGCCTAGGCCACAGACGCCAACATATGAAAATCTAGATTTATAAAATAAATGGGAGAAAGTCTTGATGGAGTCACTGGTTTTCCCTATCTTAGTCACACAACAGATGAAGGGAAATTGAAATCAAGAAAAGAATAAAACTTCTCTGATATCATCATGTCATACTAAATATTGTAGAATACCTTTGTGTGTTTTTATAGAGAATTGATGTCTTGGGAAAGTTGGTGGATGATCTTATAAACAAAACACATGAGTTTCTACAGCCTAATCCAGGTGAGCAGAGTCTGAATGTATGATTAATATTATTTCATCACAATGTAGATTTTTTATCATGTTCAGTGTTGAATTAAGAATCAAGAATACAGCACTGAGAACATTCCCATAAGTGCTCAGTCTCCGTCTTCAGCAGCAGGCGAAGAATTCCAATTCTGATGGCACCAGTAACTGTCTGTATATCCGTGCCGTCTTTCCCTTGAGTGTTGAGCGTCAGCCATATGCCCTGGAAACTCCTCATAGTGTCATTTTTCTCTGACCACAATGATCTATTTATTTCTCCACACTGTTCACTCGCTCCCAGAGGGCCCTAACAACATCTAGCTTGACATGCATCAATTCACCACTAAGTCGTGCAGAACCGGCCAGTCTGTCTGCCTGCTAATTTCCCAACCCACCGATATCACCTGGAGAAAATATCCCTAGGACGCTGACTACCCGGGATCACTGTAGCAATGCTTGCCACTCTGCACGAAGCATGCCTGTCTCCACATTTCTCAGCATGATCTGCAAGTCATTTACAATTAGGACATGTGTGTACAGCAGTGCCTGTCTCCACCTCCATTCTCAGACTAGACGTGATATTATATGCCAGGCTTTGCTGCACTAAGCGGCGTCCATTTGCTTTTGCTATGAACCCCTTGCACTTCATCTGCCTTTCGACAGAGAGCCATCTGTATAGATAATCACATTACTTGGACAACAATTGTCATAATCATTTGTGGAACTTCTGATTCTGCAGCACCAGCTGGCCAGACCCTGCACTCATGACATAAAGTTATTAGAATACTACACAAGTCTGATTCATGCTTGGACACTTTGACCCACTCCTCTTCTCGCCAAAATTTATCAAGCCTGCACACATGTCTAATACTGTTATCAGCTTGCACCGTCCAAGACCTTCCTCTTGTCAGTCTGTGACCCTTAGCTCTACCTAGGGCTTCATGCTGAAGGTGCTTTTTGTCTACAGCTTCTCTGAGATATGACTTTGTTTGCAGAACTTTGAGCTTATCTGCAATAGTAGGCGGTACAAATATATATTGAATACATACTACCAGGGAATCTCTTGAACATCCCATAATTACCTGCATGGCTTCATTCTGTATGCGTTTAGGTTTCATCAGCTGACTCTTTCATCAGCATGCCAAGTCCATAATCTATAACTGACAGGATCACATGCTGGAGCATTGTGAACAGCATTCCTGTTTCCATGTCCATTGCTACCATAATTTAGAGAGCATTGAGTCCTTTTTACAATGTGTATTTTTATCATTCCATTACAATGTTTAACGCTACAACACAGCTCTGATTATTGATTTGGAATAATTTGAGGAAAGACATCTTTACGTGAAGAATATTACTAGTGTAAGCTGTCATCATACATTCACTAAACATCTTTATTTGTAATTAATTAAACATTATAAAATCACTGTCCTAATGGCATTTATTATCATTGATCATGTCTTACTAGGAGTGGCTGGCTGATTAGTTATGAGTGCTGGGCTCTCGTATGGGAGAACTAGGTTCGAATCCTCTGTAAGGTTACAGATTTTTCTGTCAGGGGCAAAAAAAAAAAAAAATTAAGTGATTTGATTTGAATCAGATCAAATCAAATAATTAATAAATCATAACTTGCACAGTCCATGGCGACAGCACTAGCCATGCAACCCTTTATCCTCGGGCTCAGAGACCCTCCCCCCCCCCCCACCCCACCTCTACCCCGCCTACACCCAAAATTTATAAATACAGGCAGTAAAGGAAGATAGTGTCAAATAAAGTAAGACATGATGAATGGCTGTACCTGGTAGATTTTAGGCTGGGTCATTCTGGAAGCCCGAGACTAGAGTCTGGTTGCTACACCTCAGCAGCTCCTAAGTGATGTCATGGACCCATTAAATATGTTCCGGGGATCACCTAAATGAGAAACACTGCAGTAGATAAGACTCTTTCTTTATCATGACTCCATATTTTTCTGACCAGATTGTGTCAAGTGTAGCCATATTGCTTCTGAATTTTTGTTTACTTTTGATTTTAAACAGCATCTCGTGCAAAAATGTCAACTAGAAATGCAATATCCAAAATGCGAGGTCAAGAGCAAAAGATATTGTATCCACAACCAGAGGGCACACTTGGAGACTATATGGTCAAACATGGAACTGACCTAGGAGATGACTCAATATTTGGTCAGTTGATTTCTTATTTTACTGATAATCACACATTTTTACTTATTTTAGAGGAACACCATTCAGGTATATGAAACAAAGAACATTTTGTACATTGAGTTGTATTAGTCATGTGGTAAAAGTAAAGGCCTTTTTTGTTTTACGCCAGTGGCACATATGGCATTTGAAACTAGACTCATATTTTTTCAGTAGACCAATCGGCACTCTGTGGGTATTGTCATAAACATCATGCTGGCCACCATTACTTCCCCATACTTGAGCTGGTACCCATTTTAGGCTAGGTCAACTTAGAAGGTAGAGTCAGTTCTGAAAAAAAATTTGCCTTGATGTGGATTTGGACTCAAGACCTTAGGACCATCAGAAGAGCATCTAGCAATATGCTATCACGGCTCCCTTAGGCATATGGTTGTAGCCTCATATTTCTATAAACAAGTTAGTACTTGAGGTAATTGGTCATCATCACCTTGGGTGTCTGTTCTTATCATGATGATTTTCACTTTTCCATCTTTCCAGATGATAGTTTAATATTGCGCTATGAGGAGGAATGGGACTCACAGCTCATGGCGATGGTGGGTGTGACTAGCAAGACTCACCCACATTAAAGAAAAGTCTACTCTCAATAGCACAAAGTTGGGCAGTATTGTAGAGACCACATGTTGCCCATGCATTATGATCCCTCCCTCGATCTGCCTTGTTTACTCTAAAGGAAAGGTAACACTTGGCATGACGTTTCCTGGTGTTAATTTTAGTTTGGCTCGACCTGAAAGTTGTCCTTACCTGCATAGGACTGCAGGTTACAGCTGGCTGGCATAGCTGGTGCGGTTGCCCTTCTTTAGAGGTTAAATGGGGTATCTGGGATCTACCTTGTTGGTTCACAATCCATCTTGAGATCTCAGGATTAAAACTTTAGGTTGCAGCCCAGAGGGGATAAACTGATTGATGGATGGGTCAGCCTTAAAGCCCAGCTTTAAATCTCTATCTTGATATAAGTTCAAACTTGTGACTACTAGGCTGGCAGACAAACAAACTAGTCTCTGCACTACCACTGCTTCCTGCTCTTGTAGCTAAGGTATATTTGTCAGAGAATCATTGAGTGTGGACATGTCAAGTGAATATGTTTGAACATTTTTTTAAGGGTAAAATAAGGTGTAATATGGACTGAATCTTTAGATAGGTTAATGGAATGCATGATGCAGAAATGTGTATACATTTTTAACTTTTCTAAGACAACGCTTTGACATAATGGCAGATAAGAATAAAATTACCTTCTACTAGCTGCTTAGACATGAAGCTGTTATTGCCCGAGAATAAATGCTAAAGTTGTATAGATCCGCCTGAATGATTACTGAATGATTTACACATTGTAAGCATAGCTGGGGGAAACCCTGTCGTAAATTAGTTTGTTTCTGTCCCATTCAGTGCATCATATTTGATCAACATTTTTTTTGTCTATCTGCACAAACCAACACATGCTTAAGAAATCTATCTTAATAATAAAGAGCCCTTTTCCACGCTTTTCAGGCGTATTGGGTACATAGGGCTAGACCTATATTTGATAGACCAACGGCACAAGATGGGTGATGTGGTCAGCATCATGCCGCCTTTACTTCCCAGAACTGCACCTGGTACCCACTTGGGGCAGGGTCGACCTGGGAGCCAAAGTCATTTTAAAAAAAAAAAAGTCCGGCTTCAATAGAGAGCGAACCCACCACCTTTCAATCCGCAGGTGAGCATCTGGCTGCTACACCACGGCTAAATAATAGTGAGGGAAATTATCAAAAAACATGATTTAAATTGGATAACAATCACCTTATCATATACACTGTTGGATGGTGTAGGCAGTCATGTTTCATCCTGTTTTTTCCCTGTTTTTTTCCCTGTATTACACGCATAGCAGTGTATTATGTCTGTGAAAGTATTATACTCATATGCTTCTCTTAGTGATTGTTGTTGTCTTTCAGTATCTTTCGCAGAATCTATTGTGACATATAGAGTTAATAGTAAATGTGAAGCAAAGTTTCTTTTCTTCTCACGAGGCAAATTAGGTATATTGTTCTATCCCCATTTTGGAGAACAAAGAATAGATCCACTGCCCCCTTAACAAGCATGCCACAGGAAGCAACTCATTGTGGATGTTTCTTTCAAAGTCAGATTGCATCTGCCTAAGAGACAAGGAACCAACAGTCTTCATACAAATAAGCCAGATCTGTAAAATGGATGTGCCTGCAAAACTCAAGCTCTGGATTAAGACAAAAGTCCATGAGTGGATGAAAAAACCTGACATCTCTACCAGAGTTTGGTAATCTGGTAATCTGGTAATCCTAGTTTCAGCTTCATAGCAAACGGGTCACCCCACAGATGCTCCGCTCCTGTGCCAACGAAAAACAAACGCAGCTCACAGTGTCACGCCATGCACTCAACTCAGAAGCTGGGCGACCATAGTTTGTTTACAGCTGTGAAAACTTCTTCTTCTTCTTTTGTTGTCTCACTGATACCAGGTTGTAGCCCAATGTTGTGGTTTTCTGTATTTGTCTTGTGCTTCTCGGGTGGCTTGGGTGATGGATTTGTTCATCTTTTTGGAAGTTTCTGTTTCACCATTTATCCATATCTTTTTTGAAATTCCTCTTGCCCTCCTCCCAGATGTTGCAAAGTAAAAAGTCTCATGTGCAGTTTGATTTGGCTGCATTCTCACTAGATGGTTGAACTATTTCATTTTTTGTCTGTTGGTACAACATTTTCTGGTATTATTTTAGGTTAGGTTGAGCTGTGTTGGTAAACGCATGCACTGAACACAAAAGTGTTGTAACTGACACATAAGTAATTAACTGTCAAGAAACCTAATAAAGTCGCTAAAAAAACCTAACATAATTTTAAAAAAATAGCAGAAGATATAATAATTGTTGTCAAGAAATTAAGTACACTAGAATGTAAACTTCATGCTGGAGAAATTAAACAGCTTTTAAAAGGTTAGTTGTATGTCCATTTCAGGGTGTTGCAAACTAACCCTAGCATTTATTAGCTGTTGTATGATTCTACTAGGCAATTGAACAATCAGTAGTTTGCCATTGCTTTCTAAGCAGTACAGCCCTCTTTGTCGGAGTCAGTGCAGAACTGTTGGCTTCAGAATTGCCAACAAATGACATCAAACCACCATACGTTGAGATTGTGAAACTATGTTTAAAAGCCGTATGCCACAAAGGCCAAAAGTAATAGCATTAGAGATTTGTTAGTCAGTCTTCATAAATACATTTTTAAATTGCTTGCCCCATTTTAAACAAAATCCACAGCAGGTTGTAAATTATCTCAGTGGTTTGTTCACATTGATTTACCCAGGTAATCTATTTAGAAGTGATACTGTGTATCGAGCATACTAGCAGCATAAATTTAAACAATCTTGCTAGCCAAGCTGGTAGGCTAAATTAACTTACTGTTATAAAATGCTGTATTCTCCCCATGTGGATTCCGGGGCCCTATTTTAGGGAAAATAAAATATACCAGCTGCCCCCTAACAAGCATGTCGTATAAGGCAACTAATTAGGGGTGTGTACTTGGAAGTCAGAGTGCATCTGTCTGAATGGAGAGGAACCAGCAGTCTGCATACAAATAAAGCCAGATCTTTAAAATGGACGCACATGCAAAACTCAAGTTCTGGAACTCAATTAAAGTCCAGAAGTGGCTGAATAACCAGGACTTTTTCATCAGAATTTACAGTGTGTGAGTGCTAAGAAAAAGAGAGAGGCCCAGTTCATCTTCAACATCCAGTAATGTCTCTGCAGTGAGTGTTGGTGGTAATGGATCTCCAGAAGTTTCTGTCCTGAGTCTTTATCTTGTATATTGAGTGTTGAGCTAAGAACTGACATTACAGCACTTAGACCATTCTCATACATGTGCTCCGTTCTCATCTTCAGCAGCCAGTGAATGGTTCCCATTCCGAGGGTGCCAGTAGCAGTTTGATTATATAACCGTCTTGCCTTTCCTCTGAGTGGAGAATAACATCCTGATGTCATACTAGATTATATAAAAGTTCCTATCTTAGTAGTCAGTCTTTTTTTTTTTGGGGGGGGGGGGGAATTTTGGGGGGACATATTTTGAGAAGAAATAGACTCAAGAACTTGGTTACAACCAGCAGTATTGATAGGAAAAGAGCAAGGGGGAGGCAAAGAGATAAATGTTTGGGTTGCTGATGCTACTTGAACCTCGTCAATAATTTTATTTGGAGGCTAAGCAGTCCCATTTAACCATGTTTGGAAATTCTCTTTGAGAGTATGTGTTTATATATTATTATGATGTCAAACTAGGATTAGGCTTACTTAAGCTTTTTGTCCGGAAAATATGGCAGCGTGGATGGGCTGAGCCCTCTGACCCATGGTACTGGTGATCATGTGAGATGGCGAAATATGACCACCTACACTAAGCAGCGCACATGCTGATGGTGATTATTATCCTATTTAAATCATGTTATGTGACGAGTAATTTCCCTCACTGTCTTGCACAAATATTGTAGTACAATCAACATTTTTATTACTGTGTGGCAAAGCATTGCCACATTGGCATAATGGTTTGTGCACCTGCATAAAAGAAAGAGCCTACAGTCTGGCCATGTCTACAGTAGTTAGTGGAGGATGAGGTATAGAAACGGCAGACATAGTGAATGTGCTGCGTTCCAGAAATGTTGAGACAAAGAAGTCAGAGATTATGAATGACTGGCTCGAAGTGGATATTAAATGAGGACAGGCATGCATAAAGTAGTTGAGAGGCAATGAAAGAAGATATGCCAGTCAGCTCCTACTGGGTACAGTGAGCCTGGAGACACTGAGATGGCTGCTGTAGCGGAGGATTGAGCATGAATGTGAAGGACAGATGTGCTAGGGTGTGGATATGGGTTACATGTTACACATATGAGGACATATTCTAGCATACCATTGTCTTTTTGACGCAGAAGTAAAGTGACTTTGGTAACTTGAAACGAGTCATTCAAATGAATGTTAAATGAATTAGGATCAACATCATAGCACTCTAGACACTCCCATAAGTGCTCCATCCCCATCTTCAGCAGCAAGCAAAGAGTTTCAATTCCGATGGTACCAGTAAGTTTCTAATTGTACATCCATCTCGCCCTTCCTTTGAATTCCCTGGTAACTCGGGAATCAACATTCTACTCAGACTAATGATATCTCTCTCTCTCTCTGTCTCTTTCTCTCTCTTTCTCTCTCTCTCTCTACACACACACACACACACACACACATTAAACAGTATTAGAGTATACATTTTTTGTATAAAAAAATATTAGTGTATATATTTACTTACAAATTCAATTTTCTTGATTTCAGGAAATTGCCTGATAGAGGCAGGAGAATCATTTAAACATTTGGCTGAGATCAAATATAACTTAGAAGACAATGTGAAGCAAAATTTTCTGGAACCCTTGAACCAACTACAGAATAAAGACTTAAAAGAAGTCAATGTAAGATTTTCCTCTTCTAATTTGTAGACTTGTTCGGCATTTAATTCTATTTCTGTTGACCCTCTAGAAGCTTCAGTTTGGAAAAATTCAAATGTTATGGCATCTTATAGCCATGATTTAGGATCCCAGCCAAATGCTGGTTGACTCAGAATATTTCCAATTACCCATTTTTGACTGGGTCAGCTGTGTGCTGTAACTGTTCAATAAGAGTTTAGGAACCTTTATGCCAGCATTCTAGCACATCATCGCCTATACTATTGCAGCTCCCAGTTAACTTTGTACACATGTGTATTTTCTGCAGTCTTGTACATATCTTTGTGTGCTTTTCGGCTGAACATGTTTGAATATTCTGTAACTTTGTACACATCAACATGTGCTTTTCTGTTGGAATTGTTACATATTCTGTAACCTTATACACATACATAAGTATTTTATTTTGTACATATCTGAACATTCTGTAACTTTGTTAACAAATGTACGTGCTTTTCTGTTGGATTTATCTACGTATTCTGCAAACTTGCATCTACATATGCTTTTCTACATTTGCTTTTCTACATATGCTTGAATCTTTTACTTATCTATATACTCTGCAGTTGTGTACACATTTGCAAATTCTTTAAACAAACTGACAGTTGTTTATGCATAACCTTGTTCACACCTGTATTGACCTTAACTATGAGGGTTTTTCCAAAATCAGCCTCTGATTGGCTGGTAAAAAGACTAAACAAACTGACAGTAAGATCTAAATACATTCAAAAGTTATGTGCATTACTTTTCCACATAGTCACCACATGAATTCTACAGTAGGCTGCTACTATAGGTTGATATATAGTGAGCTAAAATACTGAATAATGCAAGCATTGAATGATGTTGCTGTGACAAGCAGTTTATTTGTACCAGCCAGTTGGAGGTTGATTTTGGAATAGCTGAAATATTTATTTACATCTCCTGAAACTACGGCTACTGGGAAGTATATTTATTACCATTTGAACAATTTAAATTTGAAACCACATTTTTACCACATTGTTTTTATTTTTTAATTCAGCATCATAGGAAAAAGCTGTCAGGTCGAAGATTAGACTTTGACTGCAAGCGAAGGAAAAAGGAAAAAGGTGAGGAGAAAGATACAGTTATAACTTGTAATGTGCACATTCTTCTGAAGTGAATACACTAAAATGCTTTTTCTTTGTCAGCCTTCATAAAAAGGTTCCCTGTGTGGTTCTGGTGCCCTACCATGTGTGAAAAAAAATAAAAATAGACTTACTTACTGCATGTTGTAAGAGTTGACTAATAGGGGAGGGGGAGTCGCTTAAAATGGGAGTGCTTATGCTTGCTAGGCAAGGAACCAACTGTCTGCATACAAAAATGTCAGATCTGTAAAACATGTGTGCATACAACACTGAGTTTCTGAAACAAGACTTTAAAAGTCCAGAGGTGGGCAGACAACCAGAACCTTCCACTGGAGTTTACAGCTGGTGAACGCAAAGAAGAAGTTACAAAAGTAACTTTTACAGTTCAGTACGATCATCATGATCATGTGGTATGCCAGGCAACAAAAACAGCTATCTTGTGTTCTTGATTCATTTGACCATTGATCATCTTCCATGTTGTTCTGTCAGTCCGTCCATTTTCACTCTGTCTCTAAATAATATCAGCTCATTTACTACCAACAACTCGCTACGCTATGTACTTATGTGAACTTCATGTGGCATTTTCCACCTAGTACTTTCAGTCACTTGTCATCATTCATAAATCGCTTTCTTTTGTCCCACAGTGCTGTTACGTGAGCACTGCAGACCCAAAACTTAAAATAAAAATGTTAAATATGAAAGCAGTTAAATTTACACTTACTTGGTACTGAAAGAGTTAAATGTTACTATTCTACACTTCCTTTATGTCACCTGGTGACACCCCAGTTAGTAAGGTAATATTCATTTAAAAACTCTTTTAAAAGACTTCCATAATTCAAAACATTTACATAGTGAAATGTCTAGGAAGTCCTCAAATATTCTTCTTCATGTATAACTTTCTTCTCCTCGTCACTTTTCTTTCATTGTTCAGAGTATTCATGAATGAATAAACGCTTGTCACTAACCTCCCAAACTGGACTGCAGGTTACTTTGTAACGAGTCTGTACCCTAATATAACTATATTTTACACTTGAGCTGGATTTCTGAGATTTGCTTTTGTTGAATTCTCATCTTAAAGTGTCTCCTTGAGTTACTGTTAGTCTTTCAGTTGAGTTGAATTGAGTTGAGAATTTACAACACAGCACTCGGGGCATTCCCAAATGCGCTTGGTCCCCTACCTCAGCAGCCATCGCAGAGTTCCAATACTAATAGTGCCAGTCGTAGTCTGGTTGTATGTTACTTTCAGTATGCAGTCCTAGAATGGAACGAAAAGAAAAGATGAACACAAATGGATTTAATATCCATTCCTTCTGATATCTAGTGCAAGTGCCTTGCCACCTGTAAGTGGACAATCATGCTTCACCATATATTGCAGTCTACAATAGGATGTATAGGTTTCTTTGCTGACATCTTTCTGTGTCATGTTGAAAGACTGTCAAGAGTATTTCCTCATTGTCTTTATCTAGCCACCGTGTTGTAGCGGCTGGACGCTCGTTGCAGATGCAAAGGTCATGGGTTCAGGTCCTGATGGAGTGCTGGACTATTTTTCAAAAATGACCTTGGCTCCCAGGTTGGTCCAGCTTTAAATGGCTACCAGGTAAAGTCTAGGGAAGTAAAGGTAGTCAGCGTGATGTTGACCACATCACCCATCAAGTGTAGATCGGTCTATAAAATATAGGTCTAGCCCTGTATGCCCAATACGCCTGAAGATGTGGCAAAGGGTCCTATGTCTTACTGTCTTTCCATTTGTTCTCTTCTCATGATGTGGCCTCCCCATGAGGGTTCTGGGGAACATTTTTTGTAAGGGAAAAAATAGACCCTTCATTTTTAATCATCTCACTAAAAACAGGTTTTATCTCTATTTGTCTTGCGATTCTTGGGTGGCTTCAGTGATGGATATGTTAATCCTTTTGCAAGTTTCAGCGATACCATTTATCTATATCTCTCTTGGTCTACCTCCCAGGTGTTCAACTGTAAAAAGTCTCATATGCAGTCTGGTCTGGCTGCATTCTCACTAGATGGCTGAACCATTTATTTCTTTATCTGTCAGTATAATCCACACATGGTTTTATTCCAACCCAACTGTCGCGGGTCCCGAAATGGATTTATGCTTTTGTGACGAGTAGGAATTTTCCTCTCAGCACTTCACCTCCACTAGAGAAACTAGACTATTATCCGAGCTATGTTGATCTCAGACAAAGTCCTGGATATCCAAGAAAACAGCCATATTTGGCTCATCATGTATATACACAACAGCTGCACTGGTATCCACAGGAGTAGAAGAAGGGATAGATAGATATCAAGATAAACCCAATGAGATATCAAGATACACAGTTAACCCCTCCAACTTTCTCCTCTCCTGGTATTAATTATTAAAGAGCACCCACCAAATGTAATTTTATCTAACAGTTTAGTTAACCAGGTAAGACTGAATACACTTGGAATTTAACAAACGATGTTGGATAAGACTTGACATACAGCTTTATTTACTAACAATCATTTAAATGAAATTCACCAGTTTGTAATGTTTACACAAACAGTGGCTGGCTGATGGTATGATAGTGATGAGATGCTTCAGCTAGAAAACTGAGCACCTAGGATTAGAGTGGTATGATGATGGTTATAAGTTTATGAACAATGTTTGGAGGTAACTTTGATAAAACCTCTGACAGCCGTGAGGCACTGTCAAGCTTTTCCACCTCTTCCAGCTTCCTCCCAGCTGGTTCCACCTCCTTCTCCACCTGTTCCTAGCTTGTTCTATAAGCATATGCCATACAGTCAATCAAAGATGGCTAAACACTTAAACACAAAATATTTAAAAATAATGCTGTTGTCTAAGGATACACCAGGAACAATATCAAGACAAGAAAACTTATATAATTTAGATTTCATGTCCTATTATTCACTTTGTGGTGTGAGGTTATAATCCCGGACAAGCTTCCACTTTGTGGCGGGTAGATTTGCTTTAATCTAGCCAATGCAATATGTGCAATCTGCAGAGGGAATCACAAACATTGAACATCCTACTAGATTATATTTCTCCCAGCCTTGTTGGTTACAGGAGAGGATTTGGAGTTTGCCCACATCTGATTCCCAACTGTTATTAAATTGTATACTTAAATGTACTAAAGTTCACTGACACAAATGACTAGCTAAAATTAAACTCCATAAAACTGTCAGAACATTAACAACTATAACATTTATTTGGAAAAGTCAAACTAATAATTGGACTGGCTGTGGAGATAAAATTAGTCCCTAGTAGACAAATCTCTCCACTTAGCTGTAGCTCGGGTTCCTTTGGTCAGCTTCTAGCTAAGCCTCAGATACACATCAGACAGGTAGAATCTTCTGGTCCAGTCTAGACAATCGGGCATCTGCAGCTACGCTGGGATTTACTTCTGGAACTCCCACCTGGACCTAGAACAATAGAATAGTAAACTGTACAAGCAGTTTAGAAAGTTACACTGGAGACAACAGTACCTTCAGTCTTCATATACTGTTACACTACACACACATAGGGACTAGGATAGTAACAGGTGTTCACATTCTTTACTGGTATAGAACTGTTATGTATACAGAACATCAGTTTCATGACTACTTTCAAGCACAAGAGTCACACAATAAGAAAGGACATATATTAGTACCAATTATTCTGATGTCTTTACACTAGTGAGAGCTTAACATGCTTACACACAGTCACATTTCACCATAGATTCCCATTTTAACCACATGGGTTCAGATCACAAAGAATGAGAATCACGGAGTGAGTTTACACAAGCATGAAACTCATAACCAGTTCGTTGTGCTGTTTGAAAATAAATGGGATTGATATATCTCAATCAATATAACTGGGTGCTGGGGTAGATGTCGTAATACAATCTTAGATGACAATGGGCTATCCATCTGTCACAGTATTAACATAAAATATACAACACTAACTCCAGTTGAAATCTGACTCCATACATGGGCTAAATGTTAATTAATAGAGTTTGGAAGTTAAGAGGGGTGAAATATAATTATTAAAATTGTAAGGCCACCTACTGTGGTACCGAAAAAATATTCATAGTAATGGGGAAATATATATACAACAATAATTATTACAAGCATGGACCATACACCTCTCTTCTTCTCCGACAGTGTGAATATTAAATTTTCACTTTTTCAAGCTCTTAAACCAGTCTCAGAAATATCTGGACTAAATCTAAATTAAAGCAAGACAGTTATTTATCAAGCTAATATCACCATGAGGTCAAATCAACTTAGTAAGGATTAGGTATAATGAATATACACTCATTCCTTTATTAATTGATCACCATGCTGGAAATCGGAACTGGCCGAGATTTCACATGAGGACATAAATTCCCACTTGATATAATTATAATAATTAAAAATACCAATGCACGTTTCTAGTATCAAATAAACATTATTTCAGTCATCAAATAGATCATATGTTTGCATACATGTACATACTAGATCATAAACGTGGTTAGTTAGGATAAGGAAATTCACACGGATTTCCCCACCATGTGGGCATCAAATTTCAGAGTTCAACAGATAATATTAATTCAGAGGAATAGCAGCCATAGATCAAATTAAAATACTACTTATTCAGTCACCTCTGGTAGGGAATTCAAATAGACAATAAGACTACAGTACTGACTAACAACTTTAGTATTACTGAGTCAGTTGAGGAGAGCAGACTCTTGTTTCTGTTTTCCCAACCATGCCTTGTATGAAAATGAAAGATACAAAGTCTTGAAAAGGGGGAGGCAGCTCTTGAGTTAATTCTCCTACTGTACATTCGTCTTTAAACTTATTAATTAATTAAGTATTAATAATGCTAATAAAAAGTAATAAAGAAATGTTTAGAAATTTGATAATAATATTACTTAAACAAAGCAATTTTTAAAAGGGAAGAAACAGCTGTCCAGACCAACTCGTCACATATGCCCAACGAAGATAAGTTTGATATTTACGTATCAAACTTAAACTGGCCTGAATACTGTTTCTGCTACCTACAATCCACCTGCTAAATTATTCCCTAATTAATCTGCTACGGCATCTCTAGGAAAAGAAAATTTATCTTTAACAACTGACCGAGATTTGTAGCCCTGTCCCATATATATTTATATATGGGATATGACCGACTGCGACCAACATACTAAAATCTTTTCTCAGAGAAAGGCAAGGCGGACTGTCCGCTTCTCTGAAGAGAAAAATCTTAAGAAAGAAAAGACGACATGATTAAAAGGTCAGTTCAATGTTCAAAATACCTATCTGAGTGCGTCTTCTCCATTAAACTATCTGGGAAGATTTTCATGGGAGAAAATTTGAGCGCTGCTTACGACCATGTACAGACCCTACCGTCTTAACTGTAGACTGGATCTTATGGGGTTCATCCGAAGATGAAGTGAAGGAAGGGTTCTTCCTAGTGTTGGCTGCACCGGCACAGGCTGAAGTTTCTGGCCTGTTTGCATTTCACATGTGGTTATTTTATGTTCTAATGCCCTATTCATTGTCTATTTTTGGCACTGATAACATAAAGTAGGTATAAATACGCTACTAATCATTTGCTGTTTTTGCTGGAGACATTTGGGTGTTTAAGCAGTGGGGCTTTTCCAGAATATAGACCCACTGACGCTTAAGCACGCACGTCATAAAAGCCGAATCACAATATGAGCTGCCAGCGGTCATTTTATGGGCGTATACCGAAGAAGAAGATATTGTGACTAAACATTGATGATTGCCTCATTTTGATGTTGGTGATATGTTATCAGTGGGTCTTGCCTCATTTTGATGTTTGTTATATGTTATCAGTGGGTCTTACATAAAATAATATGTGTGCAGTTTATCACATTTGAAACTTGATAATTTATATGTTACTGTAATCATTCATTTTTTTTTCTTTTCATGGCCTGTTTCACACCACTTTAGGAGGTAAGAATTATTTTTCATCCTTTAATTTCTCAGCTATTTTATTTACATGTAATCAGTATAGTGTAAATGTTTTTAATTAAAAATTTTTTTTAAAATTTTTGTTAGTTGCTACTATATAGTCTCATTTATTTAGATGCGTTTTATGTGTGTCTTATATTCTGATTAAAAATGTTAACTTTTTAATTTTAAAATGCCAGTCAGTCTGAATACATATGTGGTGTATCTCAATGTTTTTTTTTATGTCAGCATATTTAACGAATTTTTCTTTGTGAATATAATTATTACTTATATCCTGCTTTGTGTGTGTGTGCATGTGTGAGTGCATGCATGGATGGAAGAGGGGGAAGGAGAGAGAGAGATTAGTGCTACTATCTAACTAAAAATTAGTAACAACTTAAATAGGTAATAGTCAGCTAACCAGAAATAAGAAAATCTCAGAGCATCCACTTTACTAGACAGTGTTTTTCTCCCAGAACCACATATGGTAGATAAACACCCTATAGTTAAAGAAGATTAGGCAACCTTGCAGTTAGTGCACTGATTTAAACATATGAATAAAACAGACATTCTCTTCCTAGCGCTCACCAGCTGTACACTGTGACAGAAAGTTCAAGTGGTTCATCCACTCCTGGACTTTGGTCTTGATCCAAAACCTGAATTTTGCATGCACATCTATTTGACAGATCTGGTTTATTTGTGTGCAGACTGTTGGCTCCTTGCCTCTCAGGCAGATGCAATCTAACATTGAAAGAAACACCCCTACTTAGTCACCTTCTACAACATGCTTGTTAGGGGAGCAGATGGCCTATTCTTTGTACTCCAAGCTGGAGATTTGTCTACCCTCTCCAGCAGCATATAGATAATCCTGTGACATGTAGTAACATTAGGGTAATAAGTAGTAGGCTTTCAATTACGCTAGGTCTTGACATTAAGTGATTGGTTGACAAGCTCCTGTTCTTATCTCTTAGAGAAACATCAGAGGTCGTGTTTTACGAGGCTAGGTTTTTCTCATAGATCTAGATGTGGTAGCAAAACCGTGACTTACTGCTGTTGAGGTAGATCAGTAGATCATACTATCTACCACTTGGAGCCACAATACTCACTTACCCTAGCACAGTAGATTATAATATCTACCTTTTAGATCCATGGTACTCACTTACCCTGGCACAGTAGATTATAATATCTACCACTTAGAGCCATTGTACTCACTTACCCTGGCAGAGTAGATTATAATATCTACCACTTAGAGCCATGGTACTTACTTACCCTGGCACAGTAGATTATAATATCTACCACTTAGAGCCATGGTACTTACTTACCCTGGCACAGTAGATTATAATATCTACCACTTAGAGCCACGGTACTTACTTACCCTGGCACAGTAGATTATAATATCTACCACTTAGAGCCATGGTACTTACTTACCCTGGCACAGTAGATTATAATATCTACCACTTAGAGCCATGGTACTTACTTACCCTGGCACAGTAGATTATAATATCTACCACTTAGAGCCATGGTACTCACTTACCCTGGCACAGTAGATTATAATATCTACCTCTTAATGCCGTGAATGTCACCCTAGCACAGTAGAGTATAATATCTACCCTTTAGAGCCATGGTACTCACTTACCCTGACACAGTAGATTATAATATCTACCGCCTAAATCCATGGTACTCACTTATCCCAGCAATCTAAAAGATTGCTGAAAGTTGAGGTGCTCAGCCATGTGGAAGTGGAAAGCAAAGGGAGACTGCCACTTTGTATATCCCTAGGAACTCTAAATGAAAGCTGAAAATCCTGTAACGAAAGCAGATGTATTTTGGCCAGTTTAAACGTCATGGTCGTCTGGAAAGTATGATGATGGAGGGCACAGTTTCCAGAATTTTTTTTCCAGACGTAGACCTCGGTCAATAAGGATACAAGACACTAAAAACGCATTGGCTGTTCGAAGCACGTAGGGCTGGAGAATTGACGAGAGACAAGAGACTTTCAGGCATGTTCTGTAACAATGTTCTGTAAAAGACCTGCTGATTGCTGCTGCTGATGATGATGAGAGCTTTTGTCATGCAGTAGCAACACACTTATCATCGGGCTACATGTCTTTGGTTCAAATCCACATTAAGCTGGGTTTTTACCATTGAATTGGATGGAGGGATCTACCCAGCATAAACAGGCACCAGGAAATGTAATGAGAAATAAGCTGAACGCACCAGTCACATATAACAGGTCCTTTTTTTACTCCCTATGTGCCACACAACATGGCCACTCCTAGCTATTAAATAGTTTTTGACAGATCAATATTAAAAAATCTATTTCTGTCTCTGAGTGTATGTGCAGTTTGTATGCGTATAAAGTCTACTGGAAAAAAAAACTCACACACCCACATATATCTCACATAATCAATAATAAAAAGATTTGCTGATTGTAAATATGTAAATCACATATTGATTTGAATACAGAAGCACCAATAGCTAAAGCTGCTTTTATGTTCTGAGTGCACATGTTTTATTGCTGCTGCAGCTGCACACATACTGATAGCTTCAATAAGTTGTAAAGTGTGCACCATCTTTAACTAAGCTTGTATTTAAGAAAACACACAAAGTAAATATGTTTTTCACAACTTTGCATTGACTTGTTTTATAACTAAATACATTAGGGCTATTTACCTAAAGGCCTGCGGGCACGATTAGGCCCACGGAGGCCTAGTAAGTGGCCCGTGGATCATTGCCATTTGTATTGTATTAATTATATTTTTTTTTAGGGCTTGAGTCTCAGACCCATGAATATCCCCAGTTTCAAAATGTTGGCCTCTTAGTAGATTTAGTTGAATAGCCCAGAAGAACATCATTGGCATTATGCCAGAGTCACCTAAATGCTAAGAAACTGGAGTTTGAACTTTAAGATCTATGAAGAATTGTGTAGTTGTGAGAAAAGTAATACTTCTTTTTCACCAACTTGGAATTCACATATGTGCGTTTGGCATATTGTAAAATGACAAGTAACAGCCCTAGAAATTTATATAAGCTTTGCCATGGCGCTAATGAATATACTCATAGTAAGCAAAGCTAAAATAAAATATTGCAAAAAAAAACAAAAACAAAAGGAAAGGTTCCATGTTCATGCTTTGAGGCACAATAGTATCTGTTCTAGTTCCCCCCCCCCCCTTCCCACCCCTTTAAAAAAAACCCCCAAAAAACTTGCCAGTTGGCAGGAGAGCCAGTCAGTGCCACATTAAAATCTAAAAGATTTCCTGGTATCCGGTTTGGACTGGGTCGATTTCAGTGCCAAGAATGATTTCATGAATCCTCGCATAGAGTTGTGAAGCTTTGACTATTGCCAGTCCATAACTACCATGTTTCCCACATACTCATAGTATGCCTGCAGTACTGTCTGTCCATCAGTTTGCCAACCACTTTATCAAGTTTCTCTTAAAATATAGGTTTTTCAATTTTCTTGTTGTTGCCATAGAGAACAAAATTTCATCTATCAATCATAGGGTAGTCATAGTGCAGTTTCTAGGGCCTGGTTGTTTGGGAGGGGGAAAAAGGGCGAGGGGGTGTAGATCATCGTCCCCTTAACTAGTCTTTCATAAAAGTCGACTAATTATGGATGTTTTTTTGAAGTCGGAGTGCATCTGCCTCAGAGATGAGGAACCAACATAAAAATAAGTCAGATCTGTAAAACAGAGTGTATGCAAACTCAAATTTTAGAACAATTCTAACATCCAGAAGTTGACAGACAAACCAGAACTTTCCATAAGAGTTTAAATATGGTGGACATGAAGAAGAAGAAGAAGACGAATTCCAGAGTAGGATAGTTGGTGACTAATTAGATCTAAGCTTGAAAACTGTGTGGCTAAGTTGGGATAAGCTGTTTGCCTCACACTATGAAGGTTGTGGGTTCATTTTGAAAGTTTCTCAGCCCTTCACCAGGGCTTGAACGCAAAACCTCCAGCACTTGAGGCATATGACATCCCTCGAGATCATACAGTCCCCGAAAAAGACGAGGAAAAGATCATGAAACTGTACCAGACCTTGGGGAAAGTAGAACCAGTCAGTTTCGCAAGATCACAGACACAAACAACGAGGGAATGTTGCAGCCAATGAACCTTCATCAGCACATGCATAAATCGCAGCACCACAAGTGCAAACAATAATTAACAAAGTCACTTAACTGACGTATCTCAATAGAAGTCGCATTTCTCTCTGGCCAGTAGAAGGTCAGGCATGTGTGTGGCCACCAGGAATAAGAGGAAGTCAGCAAGAGATAATTCTTGACACCCTTTCATTATGGCATATTAAGGTGCCAGCAATCAAATAAAAACATTCTGTTAGAGATTGTAAGAAGTGAAGAAGCAAGAATACTCATGCCAGCTGACAAGACACTTGATGAGCTCCAAAAAGTCTAATGTACAGCTATAGAAATGCTTTAATCAGAGGATGATAGCCTGACGTTCAGTTTTCATACAGCTTGTCTGTAGATAAAAACTTCTATTTATTACTGCTCACAGACCTCCATGTCAGGAAAGCTATGCTGACTCCAGGCAGAGCAGCATTCTCATAATTTTCGTAGCCAATCCTGCAAGTCATCATTTAAGTGTTTCCAGCGTCTTCACCTCTCTTTTATAATTATTTATATCTCCATGGCGGCAAGAAAGCCTGTGCCATCTCCACAATGAAAGTAGGTTACAGTGCACATGCTGTGCCATCTCCACAATGAAAGTTGGTTACAGTGCACATGCTGTGCCATATCCACAATGAAAGTTGATTAGAGTGCACCTGCTGGGCCATCTCCACAATGAAAGTGGGTTAGAGTGCACCTGCTGTGCCATAGCCACAATGAAAGTTGATTAGAGTGCACCTGCTGTGCCATCTCCACAATGAAAGTTGGTAACAGTGCATCTGCAATGCCATTTCCACACAAAAAGTCGGTTAGAGTGCACCTGCTGTGCCATCTCCACAATGAAAGCTCGTTACTGTGCACCTGCTGTGCCATATCCGCAATAAAAGCTTGTTACTGTGCACCTGTTGTGCCATCTCCACAATGAAAGTTGGTTACTGTGCATCAGCTGTGTCATCTCCACAATGAAAGTTGGTTACTGTGCACCGGCTGTGCCATCTCCACAATTAAAGTTGGTTACTGTGCACCTGTTGTGCCATCTCCACAATGAAAGTTGGTTACTGTGCACCGGCTGTGCCATCTCCACAATAAAAGCTGATTACTGTGACCTGCTGTGCCATCTCCATAATGAAAGTTGGCTACAGTGCACCTGCTACTGCTTTGTGAATATTATGAGCCCCCCCCCCCCCCCCCCTTCTTTCCACACCCTCCCTCCCCCTATCACTTCCATGTTGTGACTATCATACTACTGTGCAGAAACCACAAGACCAGTTTAAATTTAAAAAATGCCCATTCACCATGAAAATTAAACCATAGTATTTGTGGATCATAAAATTTGTAAACACATTCACTAACCTGTGGCCAAAGACCTGCACTTCAATGGCTAGAATTCCCTTAAATATGGGTATTTCTCAGTAGTTACAAATGTTTCTATTTATTAGGGTACAGTTATAAAAACTGCGCCTGCAGGCAGTGCAACAATAACTATACCAACTAGTTTTTATACCAATCCTCATAATCCTCTGCTTTGGACACCAGCGATCATCCTGTATGCCCTAATGATAACTTGTTATTCTTATTTTGACTGTAATTTATTTGTTAATGTAACATTCTTGTGCTTTGCTCTTCTTTTTGTTAGCTTGTGTTGGAGATGAAAATAAAACATCTGGTAAAAGAACACTTTATCTTTAATTCCATTATAAAATGTAGAGCCACTTAATCCCTTTATGTTAAATTGTAACTTGCAATGTATTTATTATGCAAAGTCATGCAGACTGCATTTATTATTTACATTGTTAACATATATCTCATTGTAAATAAGTTTTTTACACTCAAATTGTGCAGCCACCTGGAGAGTATCGTCAGGTGTGATTTTAGAGAAAATGAGATATCACCTATATATAAAACAAAATCTATGGAAGAAGAAACAGGATTTGACAAAAGTGTCATGTCACCATGGGAGAGATACCTTGGCCCATTCAGCGACACAACCACAGATTGCAATAGAAATGGAGAACACCTGTTAAACTTGTGTGCTGAACAAGATCTCTACATTACCAACACATTCTACCAACATCGCCAAAGTCAGGTTAAAACGTGGTACAAGTGGAACAACTTAGATCAAGCGTCACAAATTGATTTTATACTAGTCAGACAACGGCAGAAGAGGACGGTAAGAGACTCAAAAGCTGTCCCAAATGCGGGACTGGATTCAGACCATCGCCCAGTAGTTATGAACATATGCAACTCAAGTAGAAACAGTCTACATAAACAGAAACGTGAAGAAATCATCAACACTAAGAAATTAGAGGAAGAGAATATCAAACATGAATTTGAACTAGAAATAACAAAGGCTTTTGCAGATATTGCCAAGGAACCAGTAAGAATTGAAGAAGAATGGGATTATTATAAATCAACCATCACAAAGATATTAAAAGACAAGTGTGGTACCAGAAAGACGGGCAAAGGCAAGAAAAAGGGTACCGCTTGGTGGAATGAAGAAGTCAAAGAAGCAGTGTCAAATAAAAAGAAGATGTTTCAAATATGGTTAAAAACAAAAGACGAAAAGGATTACATTAGGTACAGACTAACTCGAAGAGACACCAAGAGAACAATAAAGAAATCCAAAGAGGAATCATGGAAAAAGTATGGTGAACACCTAACACAGCTATGTACAGAATCACCAAGAGACTTTTATAAGAGTGTGAAAGCGATGCGATTAAGAGAAGAAAGCTTCAATCCAACATCAGTCATAAACGATAAAAATGGAAAACCATTATTCAGCCAAAAAGAAATTAAAAAAAGATGGGAGGAATATTTTAAAGAACTTTTGAACCCGTCGGGAGTACATGATACAGCAGAATTCCATTCAAGGGCTCCAGATCATCTAGAACCACATATCCTGCGGGATGAAGTAGAGAAAGTTATCAAAACAAGTAAAAGACACAAAGCAGCTGGTATTGACGGAATAACAACAGAAGTCATCCAGGCTGGAGGGGACACTATGATCACCTGGCTGGAGAGAATTTTCAATAGAGCATGGGCAGAGAGAAAGGTACCAGTGGATTGGCAAAGATCAGTTGTAGTACCTATCTGGAAGAAAAAAGGAAACAAGAGAGAATGTGGAACTTATAGAGGAATATCTTTACTAAGTCATGTGGGGAAAATGTATGCAAAGATCTTAGAAGGTAGGATAAGAGCAAAGGTTGAACCTCTACTGAGTAAAGCACAATTCGGTTTCAGGAAAGGGCGAGGTTGCACTGATGCCATATTTGCACTGAGACAAGTCTGTGAAAAGACACTCGAATACGATAAAGAGCTGAACGTGGTCTTTGTAGATCAAGAGAAGGCATTCGACCGTGTAGACAGAGATGTGCTGTGGAGAATTCTTGACGATTACGGAGTGCAGGGTCAATTATTAGACAACATCAGAGCCCTCTATGAAAAAAGTGAAAGTGCAGTAAGAACATCTAGTGGTCTTTCTGAATGGTTCAAAGTCACAACTGGTGTCGTGTCAGACAAGGATGTGTACTGTCACCATTACTTTTCATAACATACATGGATAAGATCACTGTAGAAGCAAACCCAGACGTGTATGCTATAAACGAATTACTTTTTGCTGATGATTAAAGCATACTGTATCAAAATGAATATGATCTACAGGAACATCTGACTACTCTCAACAACAGCTGTTTACAACATAATATGAGAATCAGTACAGAAAAAACAGAAGTTATGAAGATCAGCAGAACACACAGGCCACTGAATATAAATGTTGGAAGTGCCAAAATCAAGCAAACCAAAGAGTTCAAATACTTGGGCAGTATATTTACAGAGGATGGAAGAATGGACAGAGAGATAGAAACAAGAATACAGAAAGCAAATGCTGTCACATACCAACTATCACCTCTGCTTAAACATCCAGATATAACCATGAAGACCAAAAGACAATTGATAAACACCATCTTCATTCCAACACTCTGCTACCAGTGCCAAACATGGACAATCAACAAGACCCATGAAAGAAAAATAGAAGCCTGTGAAATGAAATGTCTAAGAAAAGCAGCGAATAAGACCAGACTAGACAGGATAAAGAATATAGACATTAGAAACACTGTCAAAACTACGCCATGTTTAGACTACATAGAACATCAAAGAATGAAATGGTTTGGACATTTAACCAGGATGAAAAATGATCAAATAACATCACAAATTTTCAACCAAAGAAGCTCAGGATATAAGGCAAGAGGAAGACCAAGGAAACGGTGGATTGACAGGGTCTCCGAAACCTGCCAAAAGCATGGCCTCAGAACATCAGATGCTGCCCGCCTTGCTTATGACAGGAACTTGCATCTCCCCACAACGCTTAGCGGCATACGTGGAAGGAAAAAGTAAGTAAAGTAAGTCATGCTAGGGGTAGCAAGGAAAGATCAATCTAGGAGCAATGGTATTAGGAGAGTCGGCACAGAACCAGTGCTGAACTATAGCAGTGGACAACAGCTCAAATGTGTTGTCCATGTAACAAGACTGGCAGTTAACAGGCCACCACTGAGAGCAATGTTATGCAAAAACAGCAGTAACAGACCCAGAGGTAGACCACCCAGAAAATAGACCGCAGAAATATCAGACACGGAAAAGTATTATTTACAAAGCAAACAGAAGAGCCTATTTCAGAGTTCGCTTCCTCCCCTGACACTGTGATGCATTCCAGGAGTAGAGAAAAGAAGAAGAAGGTGGATGCTGGATGTTAAAGACACCCCTGGCAAGAAAATACATAAGACAAGGATATTGGCAGTTGATCAAGGATCTTTCCAGTAAACATGATGAGAGCTACTTTTTACCAGAAACGGGCTACATGAGGATAATGATCTGTGGATTGTTAAGAGGCACATGTACATTTCGAAGAAGTAAGAGAAGTGTGGGACAACTGATAATATAAACAGTTATTAGACACAGGAAATTGCCAAATCTTGAAAGAAGTGGATCAGGCACTGATACGGGAAACGAATAGACAGAGGAAGCGAGGACATCCTAGAGAAACCCTGTGACAGATGTTGAAGAGAGAGGCTAAAATGAACCCTGTGACTGATGTTGAAGAAAGAGGCTAAAATGAACCCTGTGACAGGTGTTGAAGAGAGAGGCTAAAATGAACCCTGTGACAGGTGTTGAAGAGAGAGGCTAAAATGAACCCTGTAACAGGTGTTGAATAGAGAGGCTAAAATGAACCCTGTGACAGGTGTTGAAGAGAGAGGCTAAAATGAACCCTGTGACAGGTGTTGAAGAGAGAGGCTAAAATGCTGGACTTGATTCCATCAGTGATATCAGTATTGCTATACCGGATAGATTGATAAAGAAAAATAGACTTTGAGCCTTTGCTTTTGTATAACTGTACAGCAGGATGATGATGATGGACATTGTATCTAATCTTCAAGTTTTGAACCTCAAACAACAAATTTGACCAGAAATACATGTCAGGTCAATAATCTCATGGTGCGTTGTTTATAGTCTTTGAAGTACATCATGGTCATGGGGTAGTTGCAGGGGAAGAGAGACAGTGAGAGACCGGGTGAGAGGATGTTTTTTTTCAGTTCTGCCATTATGGCATTTAGGAACATCTGTATCAGAGATGACTGATAGTACAAGTGGCAGAAGGCTATGGATAGACAATATAGCCAGCGCCACATGACATGGACCAAAAGAAATAGTGCCCTGAAAGTTAAATTTTAACTCTTCACTTCCCATACATTGGCATTCAGTTGTCTAAAGAAAACTGAGGTGTTTTTGAAGTTAACAGGCAGAAGATTGACTTATGTTGCACCACTTGCTGATGCATGACAAACTGGATGTAGTCAGAGCTCTTTGGCAGTGAATGCAGAAGCACAAATATTTTATCAGGATCTGGAGAGATTAGTGCAGCAGGAGATGTGGCTTGTACTCAACATTCAGAGGAAACGCAAGACAAACATACAAGTGCTACAAGCACTATTGGAATTGAAATTTCGCTAGCCACTGGAGATAGGGGAACAAAGCACTTCTGGGAATGACCCAAGTCCTGATATATCAGTTTATAACTCAACTCCAATTACAGTTGATGAAGAGACTTTCCTCTCAACTCATTGCCACAGTACCAGTTTCTACAGGAACTATATTACAGAGACCAATGAAATTTCACAGAGGCATATGAGAATATAATCATATTATGATTTACAGTTTTTAAAATTAACAGTTATAAGACAAAGAAGAAAGCAATATATTAGGCACAACCCAAGAGAAGCGGGCAGAGAACCACCAAACAGGCACTGAAATTAGAAATAAATGGACTGAAGACATGTGGATGTCCATTGAAAACACTGCAAAGAAAACTGATGAGAGAGACCAAAAACACAGGACATGAAATCAAGAGGATTGCATAAGATGGGACAAGAGAGAAATAGCCCTGTGTTATGAATACATGACATTTAAAAAATTTTGATAATGATGATAATGTTATGGTTCAGTCGAGTACATACGGATTGGCTATGATAAGGTCTAGGCTGGCAATGTTTTTTTCCACAAGTTTGGGATATTTCATGGTCAACGGAGTACATCACAGTGCTCAGAGTGATGTTAAAAGTGCTACACAGAGTACAGACTCCATAACTCCCATGACAGTAACCAGGATCCCTAAAACTTTAATGAGTGAACAGAATGACACAGTCCATGAACCAAATCCAAGACCTTCAGAGACGAGAGGCAAACAGCTGAACCACTTCGCCACAAAGCACAGGCCTCCCTTCACCTCCCACCTCCCCTTGTCTCTCCCTCTCTCACCTCCACCCACCACATTATTCATACATTGTCCTATTGTACCATTATATTTCACATAGGGCTTACAGTCTATTTCTCAGTTTCATTCTCTCCTTTACAATCACTTCAATTGTGATGGCCCTTTGGGAGTGAGTGAACAGTGCGAAGGCACAGATAGATCATTATGGTCTAAAGAGAATGGCGCTGCAAGGAGTTACCAGGGGATCTGGCTGACTGTCAACACTCAGGGGAAGGATGAGACAGAAATACAATCAGATGGTTACTGGGACCATCGGAATTGGAACTCTTAGCTTGTTGCTGAAGATGGAGACTGAGCACTTATGGGAGTGTCCTGAGTGCTGTGATGCCGATTCTTAATTCAACATTCAACGCAATCTTTTCAGTATTATGGATGGAATCCAGTCTAGCACCTTTGGATTCTCTTTTCAAAGTTTGCTTGAGGGTTTCGCTTGGATTTACTGATTTCATCAGTTGCCCATTTCAACACCACAATATCGACTACAGTACAAAATCCTTGATTTATACAAAATCAACAAGTGTTAATATACCTGCTATTAATGAAGGTACATTTTCCAATATGAACTGGGCTTCTAACTTTGCCCAGCCTAAAATAGATGCCAAGAAGTCTCCTGGGAAGTAGAAGTGGCCAGCATGGTGTTAAAATGTTTACCCACAGAATGCAGATTGGTCAATGAAAATATATGGGTCCAGCACTGGCATGCTCATTGTGCCATTGGCATAAAAAGGCCATTTTGCCTAATTCTTCACACTACTACTGTGGAAGATAATTTTGCATTACATATTTTAGTGATTAATTTTTTTGGTCTGTTTCTTGCACATTTGTTAAATTTCTCTACATTCACAGGATATCAGTCTGCATTTGTACATTTTGCTTTAATTATCTTTGATTTATCATTTTCTGTTAATTTGAATGTTTCTATAACCTCACATTTTAAAAAACATTTTAAATTACTTCCTAATTCATTTCTTCATTTTCTTCTAAGCTATGATTTTTTTATTTTTTTTTTGTATTTAAAATATTTACACACTTAAAAAAAACAGCCATAGCATATTGGCTAGCATGTTTGCCTGGTGGCCCTTGATTATACACATTGAGATAGATTGTAACTTCTTCAGTATCATACCAATCATTGTACATTTCTTCGTCAGTGTCCTAACATAATATGATGTTCTTGCTGTTTTCTGTCATATCAACCTTCTATCTGAATGATTAGTTTAACTACATCTATCCCTCAGTGCTTCTGCTGAACCTTTTGAGAGCTCAGTACTTTTTGCCTTGGGATCTTCTTCTTTTCTCTACCCTTGGAATGTCTTGCAGCATCAGGGCAGAAAGAGATATCTTGGAGGAGGGGGGGGGGGGGCTTCTGTTTGCTTTGTATATAGTACTTTTCAGTATCTGATATTTCTTGACCCATATTCTGCATGGTCAACTTCTGGCTCTGTAACCGCTGTATCTGTATAATATTGATCTCTGTGATGCTCTGTTGCCAATCTTGATACATAACCAAACCATTTGATCTGTCTACCCATAAAGTTCAGTATGGATCTTTGCTGACTCTCTTCCTGATATAATCTTTCCTAAGCCAATCTTTCCTTGTTACACCTAGCATGGTACTTAAACATTTTAGTTCTTTCGTGACTATTTTTCTTCTGTCTTCTGAAGACAATGACCATATTTGACACTGACACCATAGCCTTGGTAAGAATATTATGTTGAACACTGCTGCCTTGGGATATGGTGCTTTAAAGAAACTACTGCTTGATGGTGGAAAAGTTAACAATATCTTTCTTTTTGTATCAATTTACGAGGCAACCTCTTTAGTGCATAGGCTAAAACACTGGCCTGTTGTCCTAGCTTCCAATCCCTGTTGAGGTGGATTTTAAAAAAGAGCCTAGGTACTCAGGTCGATCTAGCCTAAAATGGGTGCATGAATTGTCTTATTAAGTAAAAGCTGCTGATATAGGCCATAGGCCTCTTTACCTACTGTGCCAGTTGGTCTGTTGTTCATCTTTTCTTAGTTTTCCCTTAAAAGAGTGATTGACACATTGTATTGTGATTTCCAGCTATTTACATATTACAACTATTTACATATTAAAACTGTTTACACATTACATCTGTTTACATATAGACATTGATATCTGCACATTTTGGCCCAACGCATCCAATTACAGAAAACCGTTAATGAGCCACCTTTGCTGCATGCATTTTGTAGGACAGTGAGTGAGGCGCCCCCCCCCCCCCCCCCCATGGAACCCCAGAACCCACATGGAGAAATCACTGGTCTACAAAAATATGAAACTGGCAACAAATCCCAATACTGCCAAGGGCATGGAAATGAACCTTTACTTTTTAATTTACCCTCTATTTATCCATTACCATCTGTTCTGTTTTCAGCTGTCTATTTATTATAATTTATATTTATACTAGTAACATTGGAGTTGATAGTCATGGTAGCTTAGTGGCTAGATGCTTGCTGCCAGCCTGAAGGTCTTAGGTTTGCAACCCCATGGAGACAGATTTCTTTTGAAATTGACCTTGGCTCCCAGGTCGACCCAGCCTAAAATTGGCAGCAAATAATGTCCTTGGAAATAATAATGTCTTTAGAAGTAAAAGTGGTGGACTTGAAGTTGACCACATCACCCACCAAGTGCCCACTGGTCAATCAAAATTTGAGTTCAGCATCATTTACCTGATATGTCTGGTGTAAAAAAGGGTACTTTATATTTTGTTCACTATTATTTGAGTTGCATTGACAAACTTATGGCCTGCTAAATTCACTCCTCAAACTGGGGCAAGGTTCTCTTTTTCTAACCATTGTGGCTAAAACGTTAAATAATTCTCATGAAAAATAGTTGTTAGACAATTGTTCACAATTTCATGAGAATTGTCAGGTAAAGAGGTGAGGAAATGAACTGACTACCACAACCATTTATCATGACTTAGAATATATGAAGGCACCCCAGTGTCAGTATTTATGATGGAAATACCTATACTTTACATGTCACATTATTTGATTCCTCATTCTGTCTCTTGACCTGTTTATGTGTCTGCCTGTCCCCTACCTCTTCTGCTTTCTTTCCTTACTCTCATTACTTCCATACTAATATCTTATTACTGAATCACATGTGAAGCAAACTAGAAACCATTTGTTTATTCTGTATTGCCTGCTGCCAAAGCTGCCTGTAATAACTATACTAGTAACACAATGATATCTTCTCGTGAAATTATGCAAACGATTTGTGTAAGTACAACTGCATGTGAAACATTTAAATATCGATATCATTGGTTGTTTCCACAATTGTTGTGTGTCTTCACTTAGAACTTTTGGTTTAAATAGCGTGTCTGCATTATACCTCAAAAATAGCAGTGTAAATTGTATGTGAATGGGTGTTTTATATAAATAATTTGACCTTCTTTTGTGTCTCAATATCTAGCTACTGGAGGTAGTATACATCTGACTACTGCTATATATATGCTTTTTAGTGTTGTGGGTTTTTGTTTGTTTAGATCTGCATTTATGCAGTAGCTGCATGTGCTTGAAATAAGTAAACAAGAAACCTTTTAATAGACAGTGGTTCAAGTGTTTGCATGCAGTAGGGACTATAATCATCTGGTGGTGTCTCTTTTTTTCTTTCTGTCGTGTTACTTTTGCTGAGGTCCTTATTTAGAGATTATCTTGGGTGTCTGCAGAAGAGGGGTGTTTGAGGTAGGGAAAAATGCATATACTAGAAATAGAGACATGTGACAAATATTTCCTTCATGGTAATGTAGGCTGAAATATTGACAGGATTGATAAGACCATTTGCAGAATAGTGGTTAGTGCCCTAACTTACCAGTACATCTGACCTTATTCAAACCCCACTAATGAGATGTTTTTTCCTGACCAAAACAGATGTAAAAAGATAAATTTTTTATATTAGCTGGAGAATAGTAGGGAAAGTGAAGATGAACTTTGGGCAGCTCATTTTACCAGACATCTTATATGTAAATGCTGAACATTTCATACCCCTGCAGCACCATAGGGTGGCTTTTGCATTTTACCTAATATATGAAGTTGGGGTTTCTCAGATTGTCCAGTCGATTTATTTGTTTTTTGTGTTTTTTTTAAAAATCAATTATTGACATCTTATTTAAAATACTATCATCATCTTCATTATTTTAATGCTGATTTAAACATGTCTGGTGTTCCCCCAATGCTCTTCGATTTATGCCATTTAAGGTTTATACATGCCCATTTCTTTAAGTTAATTTTAATTCATCTGATTCTTGATTGCTGAACTGATTCTTTTAATTAAAAAATTTTTTTAAAGAAAATAAAATGCTAATTTCAATATCTGTTTACTTCTTCAAGTTCATTTTGACATATTTTCTGCTTCTTGGTGCTCATTTGCATGTATGTTTTTTTTTAATGTTTGTTTGAATACGTCTGCTTCTTGTTGCTTATTTGAATACGTCTGCTTCTAGAAGCTCATTAACTTTTTGCCTGTGTTTTCAAGGGAAAAACAGAAACTGCAAGGTGCATTCTTAGAAAATGTATGCACACATTACCTTTAATATCTTCTTATTTGTGGGTTGCTTGTGTTTTATTGTTCATGCATGTTTGAAGGCTGTTTAAAAAAAAAAAAAAACATTATTGAGCATGGCCAGGCATGTCAGTTATGAATGTAAATATTATTTGCCTGTGTTTAGAATATAGATAAACACAGAGATAAACGGGTCACTTAACAGCATGACTCAAAATAAGTGTTCGGAAATTCAGGGCAGTTGATATGTCTATAGCAAGCTGCATTATTTAGCTGCTTTCTAGGTTAGATTAAGTGCCTCTCACTTCTCCTCCGAGCGGTCAAGTAAATAAGTTACGCTTTCTGTAATTAGCGAATGACCTCGTTAGTGTTTATGACAGGGGGAAAGGAGTTGGCATTATTTCTTTCAGCCCTAGACATTTGTGACTTTAGCTCATAGTTGTGACTTTTTTGTAACCTTTGGTATCACACTTCTGCAATTGTTAGCTCTATTTAAACCAGCGGTTACCCCAAACTCTTAAATATTACATCCAAAGTTTTGGGATCAATAACCTGATTGAACAGAAGAAGTTGAACAGTTACAGCAGTGGCTCAACTCTTTCATTCCCAAGGAACACATCTTTCATTTGTAGGTTACTTCCTACAAGCTGAACTAACACACGATGCACTGATTTTACGTCTCTCTTTACTGTCCCCTAGGCCTCTGATGCTAAGCCCCATAGGACTGAAAGAGTTAATGTCGCAAATGAATGAAACAGAATGTATTAACTCTTTAAGCACGAGAACATTTATCTGGACAGTTCCAAGGTAATGACAGACTCAGTGAACAAAAACAATGTTTAAAAGCATAACTGTCACAGATTTAGCAACACAAATCCAAAGGATATTAGAGTCACTAACCAGGTTTTTATTATATTATTAAGCTAAACATTTGCTAAATGGTTCAGGGTTTGGTACTCATGGGCAATACCTGATCACACACAGCGCTTTGGTCAGAATTGAAAGTGTTAAAGAACATATCATTTGGGGTGTGGTTGAGAGGTTACTGAGAGTTTTTAACAATCCCCGATGTATAGTCGTTTGATTTCTATAGTGGGTGGTTGACTCTGATTTCTATAGTGGGTGGTTGACTCACAGAGCATGTTGAGAAAGGTGAAAACAGCCATGCTTCGTGCAGAGTGGCAAGCATCACTTCAGAGGTGCCAGGTAGTTAGCATCCTTTGGATATTTTCTCCCGCTTATGCCGGTGTGTTGGGAAATGTGCAGGCAGATAGACTGGCTAGCTCTGCACCACTTGGTGGTAAATTGATGTATGGCAAGTTAGATATTGTGAGGGCCCTTTGGGAGCGAGTAAACAGTGGAGGTGCAGATAGACGATTACAGTCTAAGGAGAATGGTGCTGTGAGGAGTTACCAGGGGATCTGGCCGAGGCTCAACACTCAGGGGAAGGATGAGACGGATATACAATCAGATGGTTACTGATACCATCGGAATAGGAACTCTTCGATTGCTGCTGAAGATGGAGACTGAGCACTTATGGGAGTGTCCCGAGTGCTGTGATGTTGATTCTCAATTCAACATTTAACATTTTTTAAAGGTGGTTGAAGAAATTTATTTGTTATGACAGTGGAATAAGAGTGTTGCACAATGGAAGGAAGTGGAGCCTTACCATGTCATAGTCACTATAGACAGGAATGGACCAACATATTCACTACAGCCTACCTTCATTGTGGAGACAGCACAGCATTTATTTATCATAAAAAGAGCTACTATTAAACTCATGATGAGTTGCTTTGCTACAAAGTATATTGAGAAATGTCCATTTTAACAATGTTATTTTTTTCTGTATTTTCCCATAAAATGGTGGTTGGCATGTAGTGTTTGTGGTTTACAGCAAGGCTGTGGTATCTCGCATTTCAACCCAACACATCCGATTTTGGGAAATAATAATAATTCATTGTTTATTACAATAATGAGCTCAGAAACCCCACATAGGGAATTATTTTAGTATTGTGTAACTGTCGTCTCCTGGTAAATACATCTGTGACTACCATGGCAGCACAATGGCTAGTTCACTTGCTTGCTGGTCTGATGGTTGTGTGTTTAAACTTTGTCAAGGTCAAGAAATTTGAATTAAAAAAAAAAAAAGATTGAACATACTGCATGATATGCCCAGCCTAAAATGAGTATCAGGAAATATTTTGTAAAGCAAAGGCTCCCTGTGAGACATTGACAACAACATTAATCTAGTGCTGATTGGTCTTCCCAGGTCATTTAAAAAAAAGAAAACTAAGGCTTGATGCAGAATTGAATCTGCTGCCTTCAGGCCTGAGGTGAGCGTCTATCCCAGCAGTTCTTAACCTGTGGTCGCGACCCTTTTGGTGGTCGAATGACCCTTTCACAAGGGTCGCCTAAGACCATCGGGAAACACATATTTATTGAAGTTATGAAGTGGCAATGTAAATAATTGTATGGATAGGGGTCGACACAGCATGAGGAACTGAATTAAAGGGTTGCGGTGTTAGGAAGGTTGAGAGAACCACTGGTCTGGCCGCTACACCACAGCAGCTTCCAGTTGTGAAAATTAGTCCCTTTTTAATTGGCATTTGATGAAGGATTTTCATCATTATCACATCAGCAGCTTCTCTTTCCCAGAGCATTGCTTAGTACCCAGACTTTTTTTCTGGTGGTACTCAATGGTGTGCAGTAACAGCACCTTTTTAGGCATCATTTTTTTTTGTCAACAACTCTGTAATAGACACTTTGTAATGAATATCGGCACCTTTGTTTAGATGCATTTTAGTGAGTAACAGAACTCTTTCTTGTAAAAAAAAAATGCCCTGCTTAGAACCAGTGTTGGACTGGAAGCTTGAGTAAATTTTCACGAGACCCTTCCCCAGTGGGGATTCAAACACATGCATATAGGGCTGGTAAGCTAGCATGCTAGCCTCTGTGCTACCTCACCTTATCTTAAGGGACTGCACATTCTGCAAATATATGTGTGTTACATATCTCAATGCAAGACACGTCCATATGTCACGTGTGCTGTCACGTCTCCTTGCTCTAGCTGTACACTGAACTTGTTGATCAAAACTTGGCATGTGTATGCAAAGAAAGCTGGCAACACTACATTTTTTAGCCACTCTGATTGATTGGGTTGTAAATTAGGCTGGCCGGCTGTAATTAATAATATTGGCAGTTCTTTGCCCGATCTCTAGCCACCACTTAGTGATGTGGAGGGTCCACTTTCTGCACACAAACCTTACAGGCCTTGCCATCCCCCCCCCCCCCCACCCCTCCCCTTTTTTCCCCCTCTGCTTAATTTCTATTCATATTAAAACACTGTTTATTCATGCAGAATTCTGTACACATCAAAATCCAATATACATATACAAAGCTGGTTATTTTGGAAATAAAAGTATGTTTAAAATGTTCAGATAGCAGATATACAGGAAGAATTAAAGCAAGTAAGTTAAGGGTGCTCCTTTTGTCAGTGATGCATGATAATAGACCCATGTTTGAATGGCACGCAGTGGGGGATGTCAGAATCATGTCACCACCTTTGCTTCCCAGGACATTACCTATTACCCATTTTAGGCTAAGTTGATTTGAGAATCAGGGTCAGTTTGACTGAAAAATCCGACTTGTTGCCGATTTGAACCTATGACCTTCAGATTGGCAGATGACCATATAGCCTCTAAGCTAGTGCAGGAAAAATTAAAGTAGGCCCGTTTGTCATTGATTCAGTTTGAGGATATGTATGATGTTTGGCCATTATTTTGGCAAATGTGTGGCTGTGAGGTATAATATGGCCAAAGTTATCCTGATGACTTTTACTTTCCTAGAAAGTCATAGGTGTCTGATTTTTCAATAGATAGACACATAGTTTTTCTAGAAATGTCTTGACACCCATTTTTTTC